ACAAAATATCCATTTCTTTTTAATTTAATTTTGTATTAAAAACAAAAGTGCATTTAGTTATTTTTAGATAAAATTAGTTGTACACGAAAATATCTATAATTATTAAGTTTACTAAAAATAACACCTACTATAATAATACCTACCATGCTTTTATAAAATTTCTAATCAAACTGGCTTCCGACTTTAAATTAAGTTCAAAGAGACAGAGGATATTATGAGACGTCTCAATCTTCATATCTTCTGTCACTGCTTATTATTATTTAGTGTTGCTAACTGAATTGTTGAATAACATTTATCATAGGCTAGTTTGATCAGAAATTTTATTGAAAGCACAGTATTTTTCCAAATCACTATTATTTTTCAGATCGTGGTTTTTCCCTATTTTTCTTTCAGCGTTTTTAAAATATGACCAATTTAATTGGTACATTTTTTATTTGGTTTATAGGTTCACAATATTTTTGAAAACCATTCTCAACTGGTTGTTTTCTTAAATCCACATTTTTGTATCTTGAAACATGTCTAAAAGCTGTTTTACTCAAATTGTTGCTTTTTACATGTTGCTTGTATTAGATATTCTTTATCTGAACATAATGTTTTACAAATTTATTCAAATATTATTACATATATCGTTTAATCCATATTATTCAAAGTCAAAGTTGCTCTTACTTGGAAAAAAACACTAAAAACAAATCATATTGGTCAGAAATATCTGACTAGATTTTGACGTTTTTATCCTTTCCAAAATAAATAGGAAATAGCTTTTGGTAAAACGTAAATAAAGAATAAAAAAAAAATGAAAAATTTAAGACAGGGTGATGAAAACATCTTAAATAGTTTTTAGTACCATTTACTTTAAAAGCTTTAAAAGTGCAAACTTTTCTCAAAATGTTATTAAACAGATACCTCCATAGCTTTTCAAAGACACAACTCTCATTTTATTTTTTTATTAATTAAGATAATTGTGTGTGTGTTATTAGTAAGAGGCCTTAAAACATGCGTGTATTAGTTATTTACGTATTCAGGGTTATTAAGTTGGTCATAACAATCAAGAAATTTGTTTGAGACTCAACGAAAAAAGGTCTTAATCCTGCCCCGGTCGTTATGGCCCTTAACAGCACGTAAATCGTTTTTCATCGTACTAAAGTACCTAAATTATCTTTATTAATGGTTTCACTACATAACAACGGGTGGTCCAACTCTTTTGAATCACCGTGTACCTATAATTGTAAAGCTATTTCGCGAAYTTTGAGATTTCCTATATTATGTATGATACATTCACAGTATACACTCTCCAAGTTGAGTAACTTTTTTTCTAACAATTTGTAGAATTCTTAGTTTTCTTATTTACATTATTTTCTCAAGTTTTCATATTTTATTTTAAGAAAGTGTTTCGTATAGCAATGACAGATAATTGTTTTTGTATCTACTTTTAACATCTAGCAGTTTTTTAATTGTTAAAAAAATATTTATTTAGCAAAAAATTATCGAGTTGGTGCGGCATTTTGAGCGACTTCTATACATACATACCTACATTATTGAAGATTCCGAAAATCTGCATTTGCAAATAAAAGTTATAATTTTTTTTAACTAGAATATTTGTAAATAAATTTAAAATCCTAGGATAGAAATTCCGAATTAAAAACACCAAATGAAAATTCTCAAAGTTATTTTATGCTAACTTGTAATTTTGGTATCTGTGTTATCATACGTTATTTTAAGTGTTGTGGCTAAATTAAGAAAGTCTAGATTTTTTCATAAATAGAATTCAACAATTTAGTAAGTGATAATTTTGAAAAAATGATTGAGTTTTTGTAATTTTTGACATGTAGAAGTTTAATGTTTACATGTAGAAGTAAAAAACATAAATTTTCGTTGTACATTTTAAGAGTGTCAGCCTTAAGCGTTAAGCGCACGCATTTGCCTCAATCACCCATAAGTGAATTTATCAATTTACCCAATTTTTGCCTATTAGCGACAATAGCTATTAGTGCAGCTATTAGTATATTAGTTTAACAGCCCAGATTCCTTAATGCAATCCAGCTCAATATTGTCCAATTGTTGCTATTAAAACATTTCACACAGTAAATGTTCACCAGTCCAATGGAGACTCTTATTCGAGAGGGTTGTCTTGGTCCAAGGGTGCCCCTACAGTACTGTGCAGTGATACAAAACCTGAACCAGTGCACAAACAAGTGCATCAAACATCATCAAAAACCAATTTAACAAGTTCCGCCGCATCCCATCATCAACGATTGTGCATCAAGTGTGAAACGACGAGTGTTAGAAGTGGATTTTGGTTTCGCTGATTGTTTTGTTTAAATTAAATGTAGTGGAAATAATTAAGGAAAAATATGTGTGATATTTTCGATGGAATCTTGTGTTGCAGACACTTGTTGCGAGGCTGTATCATCTCGTCAATTGTACTCAATTAAGGATCCATTAGATTTAATTTACTTTAACTCGCTCAATTGGTGGTGGCGTAGGGGTCACATGTACCGACAGTGTCATACATGCGGGACACGCAAGCATTGGGATAGTTCAAACAAAAAATATGAATGATGTGAAGAGGAAATGCCCACACTTGATCGAATTGGATTGTACAGTCGCGAAAAAATTTTAGTTTGGCCCGAAAAACTCAGCCGTTATTTTACAATTTTCTATTTTCAAAATTTCTCTAAAAAATCATTTGTGGTTCTTACATGCAACTATAAGGGGTGATTTTTTTTTGGTGGTTTTCTAAACTTTTTAATTGCTTTTAAAGATACGAACAATTACTTAAATTGACTTTTTTTAATAGATCTTCAAAAATTCAATTCTGGATACTAATTTTGTCTTAATTAAAACTCTTTCAGGGACGGTGGGTTAAAATTTAACCCACCACATTTTTGGCCGAATCGGTACGCTGGGTTAAAATTTAACCCACCTTTTTAACTCACATTAATTTAAATTTTTGAGCAGTTTTGCTTATTAATGGTAATATTTTTAATAATACAGGCATTTTGTCAACATGATAAATGTTCATCAAAGTTCTCAAACAAGGTTAGAAAAACGTAAATACTAATTTACACTTTTAGTCTGTCATGGAAAATGGTTGGACAAAATTCACTGTCTGTCACTGTACTCAATTGAAAAAGTCATAAATGGTGGCACTGAATTTTTTTCTATTTCGTTGATACTTGCATTATGCGCCATAACTCGCGCCCCAGAGAAAATTTTCAAGTAAGGTAAGATACCAGGAACATGAAAAAAATGGTTAAAAAATTCTATCTGTCAAAAATTTTTGACATTTATTTTTTGACATTTGACATTCTTTTATGTCTATTTAATAATACTGATGATCTTGTATATGTTTTTTTACAATTATTTGGTAAAGGTACAAAAATTTTGCCAATGAAAGCGACAAATAACATTGAACAGAGTTATAATTTAAGACACAGCTTCCTTGTTTCCTCTTTTAATAGTCTATAGCAAAAAAACTTGTAAAATTATTTTTGCAACAGAAATAAATAGAGTCAAAGTGCAAACTTTAAACCCTCATAACTTCGAAATTTTTATAGATAAATTTTTTTTAACATTTTTTCCGTGTTCCTGGTATCTTACCTTATATGGTATTTTTCTCTGGGGCGCGAGTTCTGGCGTATCCTGTATAGCACCAAGCAACAAGAGTCTCGAAGTAACTGGCAGTGTGTAACTTGTAGAGTGTCTCTTTGTTAAGGCAAACAGAAAAACTAATTTCAAGTTTATTATTACAAAAAATAATAACTTTTGTTAGCTATTGTACGTATTATTTAGTTTGCTTTTGTTTTTATTATTTTTTGTTATTTTTCTTTGTTCATTATAATACTATTTTATTTTCTTAATTTATTTTTATATGCTTATTATGTCACTAAATAAGTAAGAGACAATGACTACTTCATATTAAGAATGCTTTGAAATTATTAAAAATGTACGAGATTTTATGAGGGGTTCATGAAGTTAATGAGATTACCGGAGAAAGTAAAAAAATCTGAAATCTAAAATAATTGGCCATAGACCGATGAAAAACTGTCGTTAGTGCTATTTTAATACCTATTTCTTAAAACAACTTGAAAAATGATTATTTTTAAAATCCAGTAAATAGCTGTACCTCTTCGGTATTTTAAATACATTAAAGTGTGTACCTGAAAGAGTTAAAGAAGGTAATTCTGTTTTTTATTAGTAAGAGACGTTGAAACATGCATGTAAAAATTAAAAATAAATAAATGTGAAAATAAAACTTGATAAAATTTTTTGAAAAACTAAAGTCGAGAACATCACTTTGAACTAATAAAATTGAAAGAATTTTTTATAAATCAATTATTTTGTAGCGCAAGACAAAAAAAAATATTAGACATTTATTTTGGCAATTTTTGTGATCATTATAATCGATTTTTGTAACAAAGAGATTCTTAGACTGAAATATTGTGATTTTTTCATGCAATATTCGTTTTATAGTCTACTGTGGTTTTGATTGCTTCATCGTGATTTCACAAAAGATTGACTTCGTGAATGTAAATGCGAGTGTTGTATAAAAAATTATGCGTTTGTCAAGAAAGTTTTTGATTTTTTAAATTACTCTGAACTGTTAAACTTTTGGAGTTGATTTAAAAATTTAAATTAATTAATTATTAAAATAGAAAATAATTAATTTAAAAATTGGAACAAATGTAATAGAAAAGAAATACAAAAATCTCAATAATACGCCGCAATATATTTTCCTGTTTGCTGAGATAACAATAGATAGTGTGAAGAATAGGTAATTTGCACACCATAAAAATAAAATAACAGCTTTAAAATAGATAAAGATAACTATTGCATAAAACAACAAAGTTTATTTTTGCCAAACATTTTAAATAAAAAAGAGGCCATTATTTTACAAAACTGGAAAACATTAAACAATCGTGTGAAATCGTTATGATAAGCTGTGTCTTTTTAATTAGAAATGAATTATTCTGATAATTTTTGAATATAAAAGTATTTACAAAAGTTATTTTTCACATGCAACTAATACCTAAGATATTCAAAAAAACACAACAGCATGATATCACCTGAGAGAATAACAGTCATTATATGTTTCTATTACTGTAGAATACTATACTTTATTTCACAACTACTAAATATTTTTGATTTTTTTCGTACTAAAAATAATGAAGAAGTTGACGTTTTGTAGTTAGCTTTTCAAATATCACCAATAGATTCAACGTTAAAAAATTATTGGTAGATGCAAACTTCTATTAGTTATCGAATTACTGTGAGCATTCCAAACATACATTTTCTTATTTTGACCTAGAAAACTACCTTCCAAAATCTTTCAACGACACCCTGTAGTTTAATATTTTTTAGTTAAAAAAAAAGTTTTGAGAAAAGGAAAATTTAAATAAAAGCAAAACCAAGGCAACACAATTTAAACTAAATGACCATACAAATAGATACACATCAATGCGTTTTTTTGGAAATTTTGAACATTGTTACATGATTAAAATTTTATCAATTTAAAATAATTATGTAAGTAAACATAAATTAAGGAACTAAACTTTTTAAATATTACCTTTAAACAAAATTGTTCCATAACGAGTATGAAAATATAAAACATAAATTTTAGTAGAAGTAGTCAGTTATAACAAATAATTTAATGTAATTTTTATTTAAGTAAGTGTTTTATATTATTTTTTATTGTTATTGTTGTTCTATAAATACCTACCTATTTTATGTTACTCCAACATTTTTCTCACATAAAATACCTACACATAGGTATGAGGGTAATTAAGAAAGAAAGGAAATTTTCACATATGGCAACAAAAAGATTATATTTATATTATTGATTCATTATGTTTTGGAGTGAACATACATATTTATTACAAGTAATTTATCGACTTGTTTGTGATTTATTTTTTTAATTAAAAATTTACTAAATTTTTTTTATTTATTTATCACATCCCAAAATATGCTTTGAAAATGATCCCATGGAGATCACTCCCATGTCAATTAAATTGTAATAACCTATTTCCTTATTAAACCTTCCGTCGGGTGCAAAAATACAACAGGACGTGTGTGACACCAACGCGTCTCGTCACAACAGAAATAAATCGTTACAAAAAAACGCACCAAAATTCGTACAAAAGCCCCGCTTTTATCACATTTCGAATCGAGTGGCCTCTATAAACTAGTCGAGAATTTTTTCCCTAATTATGTAAATTTTTCGTATTGTATCACTTGAAATTTTCGATGGTAAGTCGAGATATGGCAATAAACCATTGCATAATATGGATTGCTACCACCATGACCACCATATGTCAGTAAGTTATGATGAGATTAGGGCTACAGTCAGTGGACCACGAGGGGTGACTATGAGGGTAGCACGCGTCGAAATACACCTATAACGCTACAAAGAGGACCGCAAAGACTAAAGAATTATTCTCAAGGACCATGCGGGATTCCCACGCAACGATTTTGGGGAAGAAATTCTCAACGAAAATCAAACAAAGGGCTCTTGATGCGTTATCACCCCCTGCGATAACATTCCCAAGAACAATGTAACATTTTGAATCAAATAAAAACTGATTTTTCTAAAATTGTGTGAATTTGTATTATTATTTTTAATGGAATTGGATTTAATAAATCAATAAACAATAATAAAAATTTCGGAACCTTTTTTTGAATTTATCTCAGTTATAAAAATGTGTGTTGGTATTTCAAATCACCCTAAAAACTGTCACTTGTCAAAAATTGGAATTGGCGTTGTGTTGATGTCAATCAAGATTGAAACTGTGTGTAAAGGCGGGATTTAAGGTAAGAAAAATGCACAAATCACTTTAAAAGCTTTTATTTTAATTTTTTAGAATCTAAACATTGTCATTATGAGTTTGTTTGAGTGATGTTATGTGTTTTTTTTTGGTGCCCATTACCTGTCAAAGCTTTACGTTTTTGATCCTTTTTTCGCAGGTAGTTTTTCAAAAAATCGTGATTTTTAGTCAAAATGGCCGAAAGTTCGGTCAACGGTTTGCCCGACGTCCCGGAAATAAAGACAGAACTTGAGGAAGAGCTTCACCCCGTAATACCCAAAGAATTTCTCACTAACGGCGTACACGAAGACAGCGATTGCGAGGAAATCGCATACTTCAGTCAAGCCGAAGTGGACAGCACCAGAAGATGTCTTGAAAACACTCGCCTCATAATCAAAGATTTTGAGACACAGCTAGACTGGCATTTGCAACAATACATGGCCCTTCGGGACATTTTCAACAAGAAAGGGGGCGGCAAGGACGACTCGTCGAAAAAACAGGATTTGTTAAGTATATCCCAACTAAGCGCCTTAATCGCCAACCACCCTGAAGGCAACAAGAAGTTCATCAAGCGAAAGGGGGCTTTGAACGGCCCCGGAAATAAGAAACGGCGCCAAAATAAGGAAACTGATTCGGAAGGGAGTGACTTTAGCGACGACAGTGAAGACTATGAGGAAATTACCGGGGGTAAACAGCCCTCCAAGAAGAAAAAGAGTAAGAAAAACAACTTTGATATGGTGGTGCCTAAAGACGAAATCGAGGAGGAAGTCCACGAATTGATCGAACCCAAAGTGGAAAGACAGAGTGATGAGGAGATGGAGGTTGCGCCTCCAATGCCGGCGAAAAGGGGGCGACCACCGAAAAGTGAGACCGGGGGTCGAGGGAGGAAGAAAGTAGAGACGGTTGATTTGACAAATATGAGGAGTTGTTCAGTTGTGTTAAATAGGTTTGATGAGTCTCAAAGGCCAGTTGTTGTTAAAGACGAAAATATTGACAAGGATGATTTAGTCGAATTGTTGCAAAGTAAAGCGATTGATACGATAGAAAAATTCTCACCCGATTCGGAAAAACCGATAGAAATTTTGAGAGAGGATAACTATAAAGAGTTTAATTATAACGAATTGAGTACAAGTAACATCGTTGTAATGTTTGATGACCTCGAGGAGTTACCCGAGTTTGTTTTTAATAAAAAAGTTGCTGACTTTATCCTAAATGGTCAGATTAAGCTTGTCAAATCAGGCGTTTTTGATCAGTTTTTAGGTGATCAAAAAATTTAATAATAGTATACTAAAAATAACAGATGTTGAAAATTTAGTCTTACGATTACTTCCTAGTGTATGGTTTTATTGTTCATTTTTTATAATTCCGTTCTATCTACATAACCGTAACGATGTAATTAATCATCACAGAAAAGCGGCGGTTGTATTTTTTTTATAAATTTAATATTTGTTTATGTACAGTTTCGCGTTTAAATTGCAACCCCAACTTATCCTTAACTTCCTGAAGCGTTTTCTCTGATATTTCCCCAGCCTTTTCTGCGCCACCTTTTAGCACTTGTACCAAAAAGTCTTGATTATTCAACAAATCACTAATTTTTTTCTGTATAGGTCCTACATGACTTATCACCGCATCAGCAACTTGAAGCTTGTATCTGCAAACAATTTTTTACACAATTATTTATAAAACTTGACTTTATTACTGTCCAGTATTAAAATTTTTGACTTCATCACAAATCTGTGATATAGTTTTCCCGGTGACGAATGAGTGAATGCTGATTAAGTTTGACACCCCTGGCCTATTTTCAGGGTCGTAGGTCACCTCTGAGGTAAAATCGGTCACCGATTTTTTTATTTTCTTCAAAATCTCGTCAGGAGGGTCAATTAGGCAAATTCTGCTCTTAGGATCGGGATCTGACTTTGACATTTTTTTATTGGGGTCTCTGAGACTTCGCAGTCTTGAATAGTCACCCCCTGTGAAAATACAGTGGGGGATGGGGAATGTTTCCCCGTATCTCTTGTTAAACATTCTTGCCAAGTCTTGGGTGAGTTGGATATGTTGGGCTTGGTCTTCGCCGACAGGGACATGGGTTGCCCTAAAAATCTATCAAAAATTATGTTTAATTTTCAAATTGCCTCACTTGTAAGCTAAAATATCGGCCGCTTGTAAGACTGGATAAACAAAAAGGCCTAAGGAGATGTCTTTCAAATTTGCTGACTTTTCTTTATAAGCTGGTAAATGTGCAAGCCTAGAATTGGTTGAATTAATTGAGACACAAAAATTAAATACTCCTTTATACCTAGGCATTGTGCAAATGCATCCTAGGCACCAACAGAGATGGGTATGGGCAGGTACCATCGATTGTTGAAATAAAATAACCTTAGAGGGATCTATCCCACAAGCTAGTAAAGTTGCTGTCATTTCGAGAATATTATTAGATAAGATTTTGGGGTCTTGAGGCAAAGTAATTGAATGCAAGTCCACAATACTCAAAATCATATCCTCGTTATCTTGTTGGAGTTTAACCCATTGTGCTATAGCGCCAAGGTAATTACCTAAATGAATTTGACCGGTTGGCTGAATTCCTGAGAAAATTCGCCGAGGAAAACTGGTTGTTTCGGGGACCTTGAAATAGGTTATGTGATTAAAATTGTGATAAATTACAAACACTGGTTACAGAATATGATGAGTAGAATTTATTCAGGTTGACTGGATTAAATAATTTGCGTGAATAACGTGCCAAAATCATTCTATTTGTTTTCCAAAAATTGAGGTTAGACTTTTCACTTTTGTCATTTGTGCGTTCGTTCGAATCACTACGAATTCCCATTTCCATTGGTTCGAAATATGAAATGTAAAACCGCGTAATTCGAATAAAAGTTGAAAAACATGAATTGGAAATTCGCTGGTGGGGTCTAAATATGAGATTTATTACTCGAGACATTCTATAAATGATACACGCAGTTGACAAACAAAAAATTTGATGATGAATGAGTACCTATTATATGATTTTTACAAGTGCACTTTACATAATATACCACTCACTCATTCTCACATTTGGCTGTTTAACATTTTCTTTGAAGATAAATGCAGCTTCTTCACTGGAATTACATCACAATGTTGCAATATATTTGGATTAGTTTTCGAATCGTCCAACAGATGATTTTATTGTTTTCACATCACAGTTATTTGTTACTTCATGTTTCACACAAATATGATCACGTAAGAAACATTTCTATTGAGATTTGGATCAGTATTTTTGCCACGCTTTTCTCTGCATTTGTGCACTTTTCCTATTTAAGATTAAAAACTGAATTAATTTATTATATCATCGGCAAACCCACTCTGTTTTCATTATTTACTGTGCTGATAAATAGTAAGTTTCCCATTCTCTCGAAGATACAGATCTTCAAAGATTCAACAGTGATATTAATTTTTTATTAATTATGAAAGGTAATTTGTGTATTATTAATTAATCATCATAAGAGACGTGAAACAAGCATGTAAAATTAAAAAAAATAAAATTTTTAAAATAATAAGTAAAATGTCTGACTATTTTGAATCACCGTGTGTAATAATAAGGTGTCCTAATGATGTTTCACGCATTTTAAGACATCCTGTATTACGTATGATACATTCACGGTAAACATTTACAAGTTGAACAACTTTTTTCGCAAATTCCTATTTTTGGTATTTTTTTTATTAATCAGTAGTTTTTTATGATTTTTTGAAAAGAGGTTTTAATTAACAGTTATTTGTCTTTAATTGTTACTCAGTGTATAGGTAGATATATTTGTCGGTCATAATCATAATAACTTCATATTGCAAGAGTAATAAGTGAGTAAATAGGTAAGCAATCGAGAAACGAACTCTACTGAGTGAATTTAAACTAATAATTATTGATAATTTAAATACAATTAAAAAAACAAAAACTCATTTTACCGAAGCCACCATATTTTGCCAATTTTCACTTTCTAATCATGGCCTAGTTAGCAAAAATTCGATTTTTTTCTCCAAAAAATCAATTTAAATCGTCTCCTAATTAAATATATAAAAACATACGCAATATTAGTTTTCTTAATAACTTAACAAGCATTTGGAATTGACTAATTATTGCATTAGTGTCCTCATTCCTGTTATTATATTAAGAAAAAAAAAAGAGACAATCATAATTTTCAGTGGAAATTTTCAAATATTCGAAAAAAGTATCTCTCTTAAGTGAAATCTGACATGTCCTGGCATGTGACACTTTTTATATTAATAATAAATTAATAATAGAATTGTTTTATATTTATCTGATTATAATGAAAAGATTAGAGTTAAATAAACAATTTTCTAAACAATCCTCCGTCCTTGAATTAATCTGATATGATTAAGTGGAATTAGGTAAAGGTCAGTAATTAGTTTTTTTCTTAAACCCAAACACGGTTTTTCCATAGTCTCATCAGATTTCGATTACACAATTTTAAAAGGCACAGATACTTAGATAACCCGATCTTTCGTGGTTTAAGAAGGAAATAGTTCAAATAAAAAAATATAAAACACGACTCCAATAACGTCCGATTGAAAATCGAAAGCTGGGCCATAGGTCACTCGTTATACAACCTCACACACATCCTGATTGAACAATTAGAATTAATAAACATCACATTTGATGATATTTAGCGCGATAATTGACACCAGTGGAACGCGGAAAAACAAATAAAACAACTCTTTATGTACAAAATCATTTATTCTCAGTCTAATCACCCCAAGCCGCCACCGATTAGCGACGCTTGCGCCGCCGCCGGAATGCCCAGTTTTTTCACTCCAGCCGAAGGAGGTATGTGCTCGCCCTCGGGCTGGAAACCGTTTTCGTCGGCGATATAGACGACGGTGTAGGTGACCCCATCGGGGCCCACATATGAGTAGGACCCCCTCATGACAATCGACTCGTTTTCAGCCCCCGGGTTGACCACTTCCCCCGTTTGGTCGTGCCGGAAGCCGTCGCTGGTCTCTACGCTGAAACATGAAAATTTCAGATTTGACAACAGTGCAGATATTTAAGTGGTACACACCCGAAGGAGTAGCCCCCCAGGCCCGCGTTGTCGAAGTCGTAACGGGTGATGTAGGCGTCTTGGGGGTTTTGGGGCCGAGCTGTCGCAATGCCAAGGATGGCACACATGATGAGCTGGTGAAATTTGTTACGTAAAAGTTGCCTCACTGTTATGTAATGGGGGATTTTTGGGTGGGCTTGTTAGTTTTGTGAGGGTTAATGAAATAAATGTGTTTAGTGGCACACTGTGTTGACTACTCACCGTCTTCATGATGATGATGATGAGAAGAAATTATGGATTAAATTACCTTAGTAATGACGTTCTTTATATAGCGATAGTGATGCTCTCTGAAGACATCCCCACGTCGCCCCCCTCTGTAATATCTAACAATGCTTTTTTTGATCGTCATCAAAGGAAATCTAGTTCAGTTCTCGAATAAGGAACAGGACTTTTCTTGCGATTAGACTCATTTTTTCTCTGATTTGATCGTGTTTGTCTAAATTTTTTGCAACCTTTGACTTTATTAGACATAATGTTCATTTTCACTACGACTTTTACGATCTAGAAATTACCAGGGAATGTTTAGAAACGTTGTACAAATAAAAATATTAAGTAAGGTATTTTTTTTTTCTAAAACCAACAAAAAACTAAATTTCGTCATCTAAATTCGTTTCTACAATGTTTGAATTATAAATTTTTACAGTTTTTGAATTGCTTTTTTTATTATGTAGGTAGGGACATTATTTTTAGAAATCGTCTTTCTTACCTAAAAAATTATTATATGGTTAAAATTTTGTATTTTTATCAAATATTATGATTGTATCTAAACATCGCAATCGTAGAAATGGTTTCAAAAGAAATCGAAAGAAAAGTCAGTCAGAATTTTTTTAATAAAATAAAAGTCAGAAATGTTATAATGACTTGCAAATGATCAACAATTTCTATCGTGTATGTATACATCCCTTTTTTAAAATAGTATAAAACAGTCTATTATTTTATATAAATTGTTTTTTAAGTAGGTACTTAAGCGATTTTTGTACAATATTTCAACTAAATATTGTGATTGTAAATATCCAGTTCAGTCATCGAGCAAGTTGTAGAATGTACGGTCTCGAGAACAGAATTTTTGACTTCGTTTATGTTAGTTGGGAGTTAGAAGGTAAACATACTAAAAATCCCCGGTCCTCCGCAGTGAGCGGGACCCAGGAAGACACCAACAAGGTGCCATATTATGTTTTTTCTCTTTATATCCTCACAACGGTACGTGTTACGAAAAAAATGGTTATGTACAAAATTAAAGCTTATAAAATTTTCCACAAGGCGATGTTTTTGGATTTTTATTATCTTTTTGCACTCTATTTGTTATAATTGGACTAAAAAAAATAAGGAAATAACGTAAAGATAGTTGTAAAATTTGTAAGCATTGTGATTGGGCAGTTTAAGGTCGGCCATCATTTTAATGTAAAAAACCAATCACTTTAGATTTTTGGCTTCATTCAAAAATTAATGCCACGATGTGATTGGTCCGTTTAAGGTCGGCCATCATTATATGTGAGTAACCATGGAGAAACCAATCACATTAGGCTTTAGTTTCATTCAAAATGTTTCGAAATTGGTAATTCGGTTTGCGTTCATTAATTAAAAGAATTACAATTTTTAATGAAATTGTTATGTATGTGCCCTTTATGCACTTTTGTGATATTATTATGATTATGATGAGTAGGTATCGCTTATCAGTAAGTGGTATAGCTATATTGTGACAACGAATTTGCACCTTACATTTCGGTGTACCTGCTGTACCTAAGGCTTGATTAGGAAATAAAACCCTAATTAACCTTAAAATAGAAATAGGAATGTTAGTGTTTTACCCATCCTTCGTGCTTACAAGTACAAGATAAATTGTCGACGAAGAAATGGAAGTGAAAATTTTCTTCGATTCTGAACATTTTCATGCAAAAAGTTAAACATAACCTCAGTTTCATGCAAGGTAGGTACGAATGGACTGTTTTCTACAAGCTGCAGGTGCCTACAGGACATTTGCATTCTATAACCAACATTTCGTTATTACTTTTGCTGTACTAAACATGAGATTAAGGTAGGTATCCTAATCCAAAGTGACTTGAGTTTTTTAAGTATTGCAATATTTGTTAATCGTTATCTCTCAAACTATTTAAGATACAAAAAAAAAACAGACTGGTTTGTAGGAAATTGTTTTAGTGCATAACTATTTTTTTTTGGGATATAAGCGAGAAACCATAAAACAGCACGGCACCTTCTTGTTGCCCTCTTGCGTCTCGCTCACCTCGTAGGACCGGGTAGTAGTCATAAAAAGTGTAGGTAAATACAGCACTGTAATCTAAAATTTTTTCGACGTTGTATTCTACAGTTCCTTTCTGAATGTTCGTGGTCCCCCGGGCATTTAAGATAGTTCCAATGTGTAATTTTCATCTGCAGGATGACTTACCTAAATGTAGCGGAAAACTAAAAAAAAATACCTGTAAGAATTTATAAGCAATAAATATGACTTTTTTTTCTAAAGACATAGACATTTTCTAGGGAGTAAATTTTCTGAAGTTTCTGAATCTGAAGTTGTTTTTAGTGTTAGAAAAAATTATATGTAAAACACAGGAAGAAATTTTTTTATTTTCTTTCACTGAGTTTTCCCCTTTTTCCTCGCTTTTGGTCTGTGAAATGAACAGAACTCTCGGAATAAAATTTTCTTTTCTTGTTACTTTTTTGCAATTATTAGATTTTCTTGCATGTGAAAGATGAATTTGAAAATTTATAAAATTTTATAAAACCTTCTTATAGTAAGTATAACATTTAATTTTAAAAATTAAATTTGAATTAAAAAAATATTTTTGAAAATCGGTTTTTCGTAGTTTTGTTCGAAAAGTACGATACATACTATGTCTATTATGGAATGTTTTATAATAATAATTATTATTATAATTTTGTAATAAAAATATTAATTTTGCTAGATATGTAGACGAACGAACAAACCCAGTGCGCTCATACCGTTGCACTGAAAAATTTTACCTTCACTTACGATACAAACTCAATTTCTAAACCACTTATAACTTATGATTTCTATTTTTGAGAAAAATTGTCAATGACACTCTCACTTAGGGATCCTATTATATAAAAATTCTTATTTATTGTTCCCATATATAGGTTCAGGTTATATAAATCTGATAAATATTAGGTATTACTTAATTGACGTTTCACAACGAAAGAAATTAAAAAGAAGCTATTGATGTGATTTAAACATTTCCTGACCTTTGCTTAAAAATACCTTTGTAAAGCGCGTCTTCAACACATTGCGAAATAATACACCAATTTATAGTCGTCAATGTTTATCCTCTATAAAACCATTAGTAAATAAATTTTTCCACATTCTTGCAGATTAAAAGGTGAAGTACAACAATTTTAATAGCTGTTGTTTATTTAAAAAATCCCACAAAATCCATTTCGCACACTTTTACACGTCCAAACTTTGCAAATTTATTTATTATTCGTGTCTCCTACTTTCTATAAATGCAAACAAATGTTGAATTAATAAATTATTGAAATCAGTAGAGTCTAATTTGCTTTTCCTTAAAGTCATGTCACACAAAAACCAGATTTATAAAAAAATTGCAGTTGCATGTATGTGCCCCATGTGCCCCAGGAACCCATCAATAACGCATTCAAATGCCGCCCACACACCCGTCACTCATCCATTGATATTTTAATTGTTTTCTAATTACAAAACCCATCAAATCAAATCTCATTTTATTACAAAATAAACTCTCTAAACAATAACAAAATCAGTCAACAAATCAAAGCTAGTTCACAGCGAATCCTCGTCCGTTTGAAAGCAGCCCCACTATCGACTCTTGCAGTTTATTGTCGAGGTCGTTGTAGGTCTTCGGTGTCGTGGACTCGAGAGGAATTTGAATCCGGGTGGGGGTTGTGACTTCGGGGCGAATCCGGGGCCGCGGTGTCGACGGGATGAACTGGAGTTGGGGACGAGGACCGGATATCAGGACTGGGCTGTTAACCGGAGTGGGTAATTCCGGGTGGAAGCCATTTTCATCGGCGATATATCGCACCGTGTAGAGTTTTCCGGTCGAGTCGGTGTAGGTGTATGAGCCTTTGACGACAACCGGAGACTCCGGGTCGTTCTCGTCGAGCAGGGTGCCCTCCTCTTCCCGGATTATGCCATCACTGCTTTCAAAACTACAAAAAAATATTTTTATTTTTTTAGGGGTAGGTTTTTTACCGGAAGAAGTAATGACCGGCTGAGGTGCGTTCTGATTGGTAGTCGACTATTTTGGCCGCTCGAGGGTCGTCCAGGGTTGCTACGATTGCAATGAGGGCACTGAAAAGTAACTAAATTTGGGTTTAGGGATGTTTGAATTTTTATGCAACTTACTGATTTTTGATACATTTTGGATGGACTGACTGATGGAACTGATTGAAACTTTTTATATATTTGTTAACCCCACTGTCCGGAATTAAGATTTCAAAAATCTCTCCAATTATCATAAAATTGTCGAAAGGTGGAGTCAGATTTTATGCAAATTTTTTGTGTACTAAATTTCCAGTGATATATTTATTCATCCTTCGAATGCCAGTATTTGGTAACGTTTCGCATCAAATAAAATTGATTCTTTATTATATTCCAATAGTCGACAGTTTCTTCACTTGATTAGTGTAAGAGTAAATTGAGAAAAAATAAAGACATCACTTTTATGGCAGTTTTGTTAATTAAGACGGAATGGTAATTTAACATTTGAAAATGTCAACACTTGCGTGGTCGTTGAATGAGAACAGGAAGGAAAAGATCAACAATTAAAACTGCAAAAATTGTTTGATTATGCAAGTATTTTTTTCGGTATAATAAAATTTCGTTTTGTTGATGCAAAAAAAAAAGTGTTTATTTGCTAAGTAGACTTTTTAAATATATGCAATTTGTTCAGAATGTTTTTACAAAGTTTAGTGTGGTTTTCAGTGACGATTTGCGGATTTGTAAACCAAGGAGTCGAATGAGACATTTTTGAAAATACAATTTCTTCACTATTTCACTTTCTCCCTTGACAAGCCGCCACTGGTGTTCGTTTGCCTAAATTAAAAGATATATATATATATATATTAGAGGATTTACAAATGATTTGATGCTTTGATAAATAATTACAAAGTTTTATACCCAAAATTTTTAAATAATTTTATGGTAGGCAACTAGATAAACAACTGTGTGCGCGGAGTTACTCACCCACTTGGCGTTTGTGAAAATGAAGCAATAAAACTGCAAGACAAAATAATAAATGTTTATTAACACCAAAGTTTGATACATTTATGTACCGATATTTAACTAATTAATTAAGTTTATTTTTATTTTGCTCATAATTARTTTTTTTCGGGACGATGTCTCCTCTAGTTCTTGTCCCCTTTTGTCCCGCTTCATAGTGCACAATAAACTCCCTTCCATCCAGAAAATACGAGTACATCCCCTTCACAAATAACACGGGTTGAGTGTCATTTTCGCGGTACGTAAAAGTGCCAATTTCCCGCCGCTTTGACCCATCCTCTGCCTCGTACCTAAAAAACACCGCACCTTTTTTTCAACACGAGTATTTCGAAATCGACTCATCTTCAATTCGACCTTGACTGATGAATCGATTAACATTTTTATGATTTTTATTTCCTTTTAAGTGTGAATAATGAAATAGTAAACTTACTCGAAACTGTATCCATTGGTGAGATGTTGCGTTTGGTGGATGATTTGGGGTGGAAGACACGCAATGACGTGAAAAAGTAATGCGAGAGTAAGGAATGTATTCATGGTTTTGTATGCAGGAATTTCGATCCAGTTTAAATATAGAAGCCGATTGGGAAAAAAGAAAAAGAGGCGAGGTCGACTTCTTGAATTTGACCATCGAAGGTCTTCCATCCGGGTTGGAGCGTGTCTCGGAGGAAGATTTAAAACGACTGGTTATGGCAATGCAAGACATTAAATATTTTACAAGAAACAAGGCTTTTCATTTTACTCAAAAAGCTCAAATTTCAAAGTTTTGGTTTTATTTGAAAAGTCAAATAATAGCTATTTATGTATCAAGTACGTCGCCTCGTCATTAATTACGACCGTCCCCTACCTTTTGCGTACGTACTTTTTGATAAAGTTCCCAAAACACTAATTAAAAAAATTTCGTTACCATAGTAATTTTATTTTTTAGTCCGCAAAAACTGTTTTTGGGGATTGAGTACCTAAAATAACCGTTTTGCGTACTATTTTATTGAGTCCGGAAAAGACTCATTTTAGGGACTCAAATGAGTCTCTAAAACAGCTGTTTTTGGGAGCGTATACAAAAAAATATATTTCCATTAAAAAAAGTATAGTTGGAGTTTTTTTCACAAACATATCCTTGTGTAAAGAATTTTCCTTTCGAAATTCGTGTTTTACTAATTAATTTTAAATATTTAAAATTTGTACAAAAAAGCAAATACAATTTTAGCAGCGGTTTTCTTGCTTTGTAAATTATTTAAGACAAAGTAAGAAGAGATGTAATTCCAATGAATTTTTTTCGTTTAAAATATGATTCTTCAATCGGAAAAATGTGACTTCTTTTAACACCTTACATGGAACAGTTTAGATTTACTTGCAAAATATTCTGATTTGAAACCCCAACAATTTTGGGTAAAACCTTTTTTTTAGGTTTGGATTATTGGGTTTTTGGTTGTAATAAAGTACCTGTTTAAAATATTTTAATAGAAAACAATATTCAAATTAAAATAAAATAGTGAAAACTGTGAATTTAATTTGTATTACAAGGGAGGAAAGTCTATCTTTTCTTCCCACAGGTAGAAGTTACCACCCAGGGACGAAAAGGACACTTTCTTCCAGTGTAATACATATCATTTTTTCTACAATCTACTAGCACGAAAAACTTTAAAACTAATTTCTTTTGATATCCCAGTTTTGCTATAAATAGGAAGGTATAAATCTGTTGAAATTGAAATTATGGTGGAAAAACTTAATTTCTTTTAGGGTCGGTCGTAGGAAAATAACTATAATAAACTAAACCTTTCTTTATCTATTCGTTATTAAAGAAAGAATTTAGTTAAAATATTAAATTTTTATTTTATTATTCGATTTTTCTAATTTCTGAAACCAATAAATCCATATTCCATGAGTTTAATTAAATGGTAGATATAAAATACAAATATAAAAATTTATTAATTTGTTTTCTGTCAGTTGTTACGAGTTCGAATATAAGGAACAAATAAAAGTACGCAACTTGTCGAAATATGGAAACCTAGTCTTAAAAAAAATTGCTTAATAAATTACGAGAAAACAATATTTGTTTCTCGTACAGATCGTGGGAAAGTTGAGATTATTCTTTACTAAGTTTGTCCAAAAATCTGTAATAGGCAAGACAACGATTGTGTTTTGCTTTTCGGCAAAGTTCATGACAAAATGTAATAATAATTTTTGAGAAATTATATTTTTCGGTTTGCTTGGCCCCTGATTCGTGATCTCAGTTGCAACGTTGTGTTTTTCCTTCTCATAAATCTCAATAGGTGAAAAGATCACCCAAACTGCGATCTCCCATCACTTCTCGAATTCTTCCGAAATCGGTAAACCGACCCATCTCTGGCCGCCGGCACTCTGGGTCAATCTTCACCTCTTTGTCGAATTGAACTTTGAGATCACAATGCCAAAATAATGATGGTAAAGGTGGTGGTAAATGTCAGCGAAGACACGCAGGCGATGGTAAATAGCGTCTGGGCAGTACAGGGATACTCTCATATAAAAGCGCAAACCTTCATCTCGTTCTCTATTGTGGTCACTAACTCATCATGAAATTGTTCCTCGTCTTACTTTTGGCAGCGTGTGCGTTCGCCGCCCCCCAGCGCGACTCCAAAGACGCCGTCATTACAAAGTACGAGAGCGACAACATCGGCATCGACGGATACAACTATTTGTAAGTATTTCCGGTCTTTGATATTGGAAATTTTGACACTTCCGTCCAGATACGAGACCAGCGATGGCACCTCAGCCCAAGAACAGGGCCAATTGCAAAACGCTGGCACCGAAAATGAGGCAATCGTCGTCAGGGGGCAGTTCTCCTTTGTGGGGTTGGACGGAGTGACCTACACGGTGACCTACATCGCTGACGAAAACGGATTCCAGCCCCAAGGGGCGCATCTCCCAAAAGCCCCATAGACTAGTTATTAGCCGGCCACTTGGAAGTTTTTATAAAAGTGAAAATTGGCCGCTTTTCTATTTATGTGTCAAAAATGTAAATAAACGATATTTTAATAACGACGAGTTTTATTACACCTAGGAATTGTGCAAGCTTTTATAATTTTATGCGATGACATTAGTAAGGGAAAGTTACATTCCTATTTTACCATATCGCACTGATAATTTCACTAGAATCCCAATTATGTAACAATTACAAAACTTTTTTTTTATTTGAGTCTCCTTGACAAGGTTTTTCAAAATTCTTAAACCGTGTGATTCACGACATGACATTTGTTTGCACTTTGTGGCCTGTTTTGAATTATTTCAACACGGGTGATACATCACTATGTCTCTATTATTAGATCTATCAAGATAAATTTTCTGAATCGTTGTGTATTGTGCAAGTTTGGAAAAAATATAACCTGCAATGATCATCTAACATTTCTTGAACATCGTGTCCTGGCGATGGATAATGATGGTAATTGTTGGGAGATAGGAACTTGAAAAGTTAATAATAAGGTAATAGAACTGTTTTACATAACTGGCGCCTAAAATTTTTTTATTAATTTTTTAATTTCCCATACACCAAACTGGGAAAAACGACCGATTTAATAGGACTTTCTCGCCGATTTTATGTAACATCCGTCACATTTACAACCAATAACAATAATTTTCAAAAATTAAAAATTAACAAAAATAAAAGTAAAATATTTTATAAAAACAGTCTTCGTTTGTTCCACCCAAAATTATGAATAAATTATTGCTGATAATAAAACTGACAGAAAGGATACTTTTTCTTTTTCATATACTAATTATACTTCACTATTACACAAAAACAGATTAATTCTAGTTTCTATTATTTAAGCAAGGAAAAAAGATAACAGATTAAGTTTAGGAGTTCAAAATTTACTAGAAACAACTTAAAATAGGTACTACTGTGCAAGTTATATGTAACACCAAGAATACATGATTATTTTTTCACTAAATTTTAATTTTAATTTAATGTTTAATTTCTTTTTTTTTCAAGTTACTAGTTTTTTTATTAATATGCTCTTTCTTGTATTAACTACCATAATCTATAATCGTGTTATACTCGTATGTTCTTCACTAACCTTCACTTCTTCACACTTTAAAGTCATTTTTTAATTGAATTTGGTCTTTTAGACTTATTAAAGTTTAAATATTGCAAAAAGTTTTAATTACTTATTAATCATGCAAAAAAACAACTTAATTAAAGCTTTTAGCTTTTTGGATACTTCTTTACCGAAAAGACTACTAAAACAATAAATCGAAACTCCTCTCAACACTAATTTGTTTTTCATCAATAATAATAATTGATTTTACATACTACTAAAATATGTAATGGAGTATAAAAGTTAAAGATGATAGTGATGAGAAAATTTAGTTTTTTTTTTAAATCGGCATTTCTTGTGGAGTTGTCAACTTGTTCCAAGGATAGTGTTATTTAATAATCATACTGAGTGTTAAGTTGTTACAAAAGAACAAAAAAAAACTTGTACTTTAAACTTCAACTTTTAATAAAGTCAATGATTTTGTCTCTTTCGCTAAGAAATTATTTTACCGAAAAAGATTAACCAATAACTTTTTTAAATTAACGTAAATTTTTCTTTAATTCTAGTGGATTTTTTTTCCTTAAGTATCTACTCCCATGTATGCAAAAATTCGAGTTTTGTAAAGTGTTTCTAAAAAATTGTTTTTTTTCTCACTGCTAGCATATTGGTAGACTGGAATTTTGAATTTTATTTAGATCCAAAGCTTTATTTCTTACAATCATGTTTATTTAATTTCCTAATTTTCTTAATTTGTTTACTGGTTTGAATAAAAATAAAGAGAAAACGCTTGAAACCAATTATTTCATTTTCAGGTTTTAAAATTTTGAAACTCAGTTTCAGTTTTTAGCTATGTGATATAAATCACCATGTATATAAAAATTAGAATTAGGGACTATCACAGCTGATTACCCCAGTCCGGCCGTATTTCCCAATTTAATAATTTTTTGATCACAGTGTATAGACTCAATTATGCATCACACGAAGCTACGACACGAGAACTATGAGCTAATAACATTATAAAAATGTTACCAGTTGAAGTTGATTTACCTTTACTCGTATTACACAAGCTTCCATGAATATTCAAACAGTAGGAGTCACAAACCCATCTCCCGACTTTCTTAAGAAGCTTTAAATTCGATTATTATTAGGTTATTAATAATTAATTAACAATTCAGAAATGACAATATGATATCATCTGATTTGTTACGTCAAAAACGTAATCCGCAAGATGAAAGTAAACCTCATCTCAAATGAATTTGTCGGTGTGACGCAAGTAATTCAACATAATTATCTGCAAATAGGAAATAAATGAATTTCACACGCAGATGAAGTGTTTGACTAATTTAATTAATCGCAATTCAAGGTGAACTTAACGTCTCAATTCCTATTTGCAAATTTTTCCCAATTCGAATCAATTTCTCCGCGAATTACATAAACCTCCAAAGGTTAATCCAACAATAAACCGCGCTTCTCCGCCAGACAATTTGCTAATTATTCAGTTTTGAATTCCTGGCAAGCCATGAGAATTCTACCGCAAATAGAGACATCCGCCCGAAAATCGTTGCATAAAAATCTCCAAACTAGTCCGTAAAGGTGAACTGGCCGTTTAAAATTCTGGGATGGTAAAATAATGTGAAGGATGACACCCGAAGAGGGGATTTTCGGCTAGATCTATATAAACACACTAATGCAACGTCCATCCCCAATTAAGTCATCGAGATGAAAGTGGTCAGTTTGTGCCCTTGTGTTGTAATACTGTGCTAACAATAAGTCTTTGCAGATCGCCATTTTTGCCGTCATCCTGGCCGTGGCTTTGGCCGCCCCGCAGGGCCGCGACGCCGACGCCCAAGTCGTACGCGCCGACATCGACAACATCGGAGTTGGCGGATACAGATACAGGTTATTACCATTATTATTGTTACCATCATTACCATTATTATTATTTAGTTACGAGACCAGCAACGGGCTGTCGTCCGACGAGCAGGGGGAAATCAAGAACGAGGGCCGCGAGGATGAGACTTTGGTGGTGAGGGGACAGTTTAGCTACGTGGGGCCCGATGGAGTCACCTACACTGTCACCTACATCGCCGACGAGAACGGTTTCCAGCCCCAGGGGGCCCACATCCCGCAAAACTAGGTCCGACTTCCCACCAACGATAGTTTAGGAATTTGTACAGCAACTATTTATAAGTACTGTTGACATTCAACTATATTTATAAAGAATTTTATAAATATACTATTGGTTATTTATCTTGTATTGTTTTATTGCGGACAACCTACTTGGGGCTTACGTCACACGGCCACTCTGGCCTTGGCCTTTTGCAGGGTGGATTTTTGTAACCTTTCACCTTGGGCAAGAGGACCCGATGTGATGGATTTACAAAGGTTAACTGGTCACTCGGTAGAGAAAAAATGTGATTAAAGGTGGGGGGAGTTTTCTGAAGAAGGATATTTGAAGATATAAATGCTTTGTCTTTGATGCTACAGTTAAGTGGCAAGTTGTCAACGATGAAAGCGGTTAGTGTACATACTACATTTTTTCGACTAACCAACTTTATTGTAATATTTCAGGTCGAGCTTTCATCAACATTCCAAAATGGATTAAAATGATTTGAAACTATGTTGATTGGGAACTATGGAAATGGACCTGGACCGGATTAGGACTTTTCGACTCTGATTTTAATTTGTATATTTTAGTACAGCAACTTCGTAGATTAATAGATATAAATGTAATTTGTAACACAAGAAATAAAGTTTCATTTTCGACAACATACTTTACTTGTTTCATTTCATGGTAAACTGATTTTAAGTTGTTTCCGGGCAAAATCCGGCAAAGTTATTAAAACTATTTGTATGAAAAGAACTTTTTGAGCGCTCGATATGATCTTATGTCGGATTGTTTAAAAAATCCTAATTTGTCATTTTTTCTCGAGCAAAACTATAGGTAAAACGACACAGAAAAATTATATTTACACAGAATCTAAATAATTTTTGTTTGCCGAACTTTTAATACGCCGTTTAGCTCTGTCGTTTTTTCTCTAAACGACATAAAGGAAAAGTTATTTCTTAAATTCTAATTTTTATTATATTCTTACGTGTTTACGTCTTTGAGTGTTTTATTTATTTTATTTAACGTTCTTATATTTTCCCTATTTAGTTTGAGTTTTTTATTTGCGTTACTGTAATGGTTCGTTTACAATACTTGTTCTAAAGTTCTTATATTCTTAGTACGATGTGTATTTTACGCTCTTCTAAAATCTTTTTTGATTAACTTACTTTTCAATCAAATGACGATTTACGTTTTTRATTTTTAAGTTTGCGTTTTTTTTTAATTAATTACTGTCTTTGCGTTTTAAAAGTACATATTTAAGTTACTTATTTATTTTTTGCTACATTTATTAACATTAACATGTTTTTTGCTTTTTTTTAAGTACTGTTAAAAATAGAAGAATTTAAGAACTCGAACCGATAAGGTTTTTCCATCTTTCTAGTCAAATACATTTTCCACTGAATTAACAAGCCCTAAGCAAGTGCCTTTACTTTCTTGTATTGGATATTTTCTAACAAAAATTTTGCAGAAGTAATATTTTACGTCTTGCTTAAAAGTGTTTGTAAGATCGATATTTTTTGAAAAATGTACAAAATTTGTAATTTTTAAATTCAACGAGTGGTCTAGATTTAACGTCTGTACGTCGCAATTTTTGCTGCCAAACTGTTAAAATTTTAATCAAACGATATCAAACTATGAGATATATTTGTTTTTGTGTATGAACTCATTTTTGGTGTCATCAGATTAAAACAAAAATTTTGTAAAGATGGAGAAAATCCAGAATTTAAGAATTAATTTTAGAATTACATCTTTAAAGATTTTTTTATTAAATTGTTCAAGTTTTTGGGATCTATCAAAATTTTTAACTTAGTATATGTGATCAGAAGTTGGAGAAATTTTGATAAAATTGTATACTATTGCAATTCTAAAAACTTTAATTATGGTTAATATTTTGTGGTGTTCCTGGTAAAAAATTACAAAAGGAATCTGGAAATCTATTTTTTGACAGTTCAAAATGGTCAAAAATTGGATTTAGACTCCAAATTCGTTTCATGCTTACTGTGCACTTGACATTATCCCATTTGTATTAATTCGTTTTTGTACCACTTTTTAATTATGATTAATTCCAAACAGCCACCAATTAATCACTCGATTCAACTCCTGGCTTTCGCAAGCCCATCAATTAAATTCGACAACAACAGCCATCTCAACTCTTGCTATTTACTCGTCAAAAAACCTCCGGTTATCAGTCGCCTCATTAATACCATCCATCCCATGACATAACGCGCATTCGCCACTAATTTCGCTGTTGCACAAAAACGCAACGAATCTTTAGAAATTAACAAAAGGTGAAATGTGAAGGATGCCTCTACTCCTCTAATAGTGGGGCTTTTTCGCAGCTTTTTATATAAACTATATAAATCACAGCCACTGTGCCCATATTAGTACAAACCATGAAAGTTATCGGTGTGATTGTCATCCTGGTCGCCGCCGCCAGCGCCGCCCCCCAGCAGGGCCGTGACGCCCAAATCCTGCGGTTCGAAAACGAAAACATTGGGATCGACGGATACAAATTCAGGTTTTTCTCATTATTTTTCAACAATTTTCCTCTCATCATTTTGTGTTTTGTCTAGCTACGAAACTAGCGACCCCATAACCAGACAAGAAACAGGCGAATTGACCAACGCTGGAAGCGAAAACGAAGCAATCATAGTTAAGGGAGAATACAGCTATGTGGGTCCTGATGGGAAGACCCATTCTGTCAGCTTCGTAGCTGACGAAAATGGATACAGACCCAGTGCCAAGACTGCCAGAAAGTAAAAGCTCAAAACGGATTTGGAATTGTGTTGAGTTGTTCAACATCTTGTAAAAAGTCTTAAATACATAACTGACCTATACTTTGGCTGTTTTATTGACACTTAACCCACATGAAGATGCTACCAGTGATGGGCTAAACGAGCAAAATGCCCGGAGCGGTGTTGCATGTGCATATAAATGTCATTGTGTTGCAATATTGTTTGAGGCAAAAAATCGATAATCCAAACAATTACACATCAAATCTTACCAGAGAGAGGTTAATGACACAGCTAATAATCTATCAATACATAAAAGTTTTAAAAACATTTGAATTTTCGTTGTTTTTCATAGAATTTACACACGTGCGTCATGAAAAAAAAAACGCTATATAATGGCGATAAAATTTACATTTAATTGGCTATCCTCTGGCTATGTAATTGCGGGGAGAGTAAACAAATTGAAAAACAATTTTTTGCCATTAGGAATAAATTATAATCAAGAAGAAAAAATATTTCAACATGTACCAAACATTCAAAATTGCAAAATTTACAATGTAAACGTAACTAGATCTTTTTACAATTAATACAAATAATAAAATAATTATAGTTTTTTCGTTATTTTTATATTAATATCACGGAGATTAAGAGCAACATAAAATTTCAGAAAAACATTTCTTTTCTAAAATCTTTCGTGATTTCGATATTTTAGAACAAGTAAAACTTTGATCTATCGGCGAAAAAACAATCAATAAAACAATGCAAAAAGGGCTAAAGTAAACAATAAAAATGTAGTTAAAAAACAAAACATGTGGAATGTTTTAAATTTTTGCGAGAGCTGCAGATACATACAAAATCTTTTTCCATTGAAATATGAATTTTAAATTTGGATTGCTTTAAGAAGTGGAGAAACAAAATATGATATGTACTTAATAAAAAATCTAAGGAATTTTTGACATAACAAGGGAATTTAAAAATAGCATCTTCTTCTTTCTTCAGAAGACAGAATAGATAGGCAGTTGCAAATTTTTATTGAGTAACACTATAGTTTCCCTTTATTTGTTTCCATTAAGAATTTTTTTAAACATGTTGAAAATTGAAACAGTGTGTTTTAAAAAATATTTGAATCATTGTCTAAATTTGGAAACTGAATAATTAAATGAATATTTTATGGCAAATTATAATTAATATTTAAAGACATTTTTATTTGACATTTTGCCATAAATAACCTTTCATTTCTAGATTCTGTTTATGTTTACCAATTACAGTTTTCGCCTTTTTTTGCTAAATTTTTTACTAATATAGATTTATTAAAATGCTATTGTCTACGTTTCAGATCATATGGAAGATTTATTCATTCATCTAAATTAAGAAACTTTGTTGTATTTTATATTTTATTATTTTATTGACACCTAGCAGAACCGGAAGAACCTACCGCAATTGCACAAAAAAGTGAATCTTCAAAAACAAAATTAACAAGTTCTAAAGGTAAAATGTGAAGGCTCCAAAAAGTGGGGATTTTGACTATTGGCCTATAAATACACTCGAGACCAAATCCCGAATTAAGTCTTGCAACCATGAAAGTCGTAATTGCTTTGTGTGCCTTGGCGGCTCTCGCCTCCGCCGCTCCCCAGCAAGGGGGCGAAGCCCAAATCCTGCGATTCGAAAATGAGAACATCGGCGTCGATGGATACAAATTCAAGTAAGTTTTCGATTTTTTCAATCCTGTTTTAATTTTGATTAGTTTTGAGACCAGTGATCCGATTTCGCGCTCCGAATCCGGGGAATTGAAAAACGCCGGAAGTGATCATGAAGCAGTGGTGGTTCATGGCGAGTACACCTACAAGGGCCCTGATGGCAAAACGCACACAGTGTCGTTCGTCGCTGATGAAAACGGATACCAGCCCCACACCCAGACTAGCTAAAACCTGCCTGTTTAGTGTAATATTGCAAATGCCATTATTTTTGTAAAAAATAATAAATAATAAAAATTTGATATTTGAAGTTGTTGGTATTCTTCAGTAGTGTTTTACTGGATGAGCACTTTTATCACTGACCTCGTAATAGTTTTGAAGAAGTCTTCGGATGAAACATAAACAAATAAATCACTCACAATTAGTGATTGCACAAAATCAGCCCACTTTTAGAATACATTTGCAATTTTTTTGAATTTTGACTCAAGAGGACGTCACCTTGATCTTGGTTCCACTCCATTTGATGTTTCTGTTGATGATGGTGTTTGGTAAAAGAAGGAATTACTCTGTTCAATGTCATGTTCATAAAAATTAAATGAAACGACTTAAAGAGTAGTCGTTAAGTCTTGACATTTTCGAAGTTCAAAAACGATGCAATTCTATAATTAATTATTTCAAATAACATTTAAACATACACTAATAACTTTTTTTATTTAGAGAAAGTACTAGAAGTAGATAATTACTCATACTTTGCCTTACTTATGTCCAAATGATTACGCAATTTTGCAAAAAGTAGCAAAATAAATCCAAGTTAATTTAAAACTAATTTTTAATAATTACATTTATTTTTAAAGAATTACAAAATTATCTTGTCCACTTCAAAAATACTAAAATATACTAACTTCTTTTATATCAATGGTAAAACGAATATTTAAACAAGCAATTAACACGATTAGTTTCACGATTTTTTTAATTTAAAATATAAACAAAAATTAATTTTACGTCAAATTAAAATTTTGAGTTACAAAAATTTCAAAGATGTGTTGTTGACAATATAAATAATTTTACTATAAATAAGATGATCTTGTTGACCTAGATTCATTCACTCAACCCATTTATGACGAAATCTGGTGCGAATTTTATGAATGAACTCGTACTCAATGACCATGTCCTTTGCATTTTTTAGATTAATTTCTTTCAAGCTAAAAAATTGTTATTAATGTATTAAAAACACGCAGATCAAAGTACTCGGTATTTCTCTGTATCAGCGGGAGGTATTTAATGTTTAATTAATTCAATAAAACTGGAAAATTTCTCAAGCTTTGCAATAATCTAATTAAAAAAATTTGAATCCGCAGCAGACGACCTTTATAGGTCGTGAACCGCGCTTTTTGCCTTAATTGAAGACATGGATAATAGGAGCAAAGCTGTTGGTATTTACCGATTTGCAGCAGCAAAATCACTAATGAATGAACTCATTTCGAAAATTATCTCTAATTGTAATAATTATCCGAAAAGTTGTCGACTTAAATGTCACGCGTGATTTTCCCACAACATTTTCTATATTTTCGTGAAATTTTCATGAAAACGAAAGTGAAGATGTTCCAAGGTAAATAGGATGTAACCTTGAAGCAACTTTCATCTTCGCGTCCTCGCTTATCTTCGGGTTCGGTGATATACATGAACTTTACTGTTATATTACATTAGCCAAGTGTAAAATTAACATTTTCTTGCATAACTCAATATTGTCTTTGGCAAGAAGGGGCCAACGAGGGCTAGAAAAAGTATTTGGTAATTTATGACACTTTTGCGGCAAATCGTGACGGCTGGAAACGCCCAATCGTGCCACGAAACGGCCACAAAAACGCTACACAACTTTCTCCAAAGGTTCCTGCTATTAATTTTGCTTTATTTACCCAGACATTGGGGCCTATGACCCACTTTGTTTATTATACCCAATCATTAGGTAAAACAATTCAATTCTTTGAAAAAAAATACTGGCATTACCATAAAACAGTAAACGTGGCTGTTAACTATATGCAAATTCTATTTAGGAGTACATAATTGGTTGCATACACCATGTTTTTGTTTTGGAATAAATTTGTTCGGGTTTAGATAAAGACTCCCGGCGCATCCACCATTTTTTTAATATTTAACAAAACTTGTTTCGTGTTTAAATATACACAAACTGCAAATATTAATTTCGACTTGCTTTTCCTAAAAATGACTCTTTTAGAGACAAAAATTAAAATGGTCATTTAAAGCAAATATTTTATTATAAATAAATAATAAAGGTAAGAATTTATTTAAGACGATAAGACGATGAAAATAATTCGTTAAGGTCATTAAATTTACATTAGAACGTGGACAAAAGTGTTTGAAACTTGGTTTACATACAATAGTGGTTTAACCGGAAGAAGGCGTTTTATGTGTTGCCTATACTTCCACCACTTTTACTTTCATTTTGTGATTGAAAAATTGCAATCCGACAGGTGCGTGTCAGCAAACAATACTTGCTAATGTACTCAGAGTTTAATTTAAAAGGCCACCGTTCTGTACCAAAACCGCATTTACATAATAATTTAGCAATCCCCGAAATTACCCAAATCACTCGAGGCTCTCCTAAAACCAACTTATTTATCTTTTTATCGATCATAAATATTTAAAAAACCTTGATTATTGTCACATACGATCATTTACAAGCTTCTGTTTCTGCGTAAAATTCAAATCGAGTAGTTCCGGAAGAATCTTGAAGAGTCTTCTGCAGAAAAAATAATTGATGATTGTGAATAAAGTCATGTCAGGGCCGAAATGTGGGTGGGTTTGAACTAACCGTAAGGTTATAATTTACGAGAAATTGGAGGAAATTGACTGGTACCCTTCGAAATTAATGAGAGTTTCTGTGTGCGTTGAAATTTACATAAAAGCTATTATTAACGCCTTTGAGATGATCCCTCGAGTGGCGGGGAGATTGGTAAAAGATATTAGAAGGATGCGGCAAGGTAGTATAATGGTTTTAGCGTCTGTTATGAATTACTGAGATTACTACGAGTTGTAAAAATTTTAATTAAAGTTGCAGTGGTGATACGAGATGAAGCTAGTTATTAAGGTAAGATGAGCTTTAATTGGATTGCCTTACACGGCTAATGGAGCGAAATTTAATTACTTAATTATTGGCTACAGACAATTACTTTGTATGTTAAGTAATGATCAACTAAAATAAGAAAAATTGTAACTTAATTTGAAATTTTATCGATTTATAAAATATTTTTCTCTTCTCAAATAATGAATAATGCCCAAAAGTATGTCATGTGCTAATTTAATTTTTTATCTAAGCAACAAAGTGATGAAACTTGTTAAAAAATGTTTGTATTTCTAATTATTATATACCAATACTTAACCTTCGATGACATCATACAAAAGGACAATTATTCTAAATATCATTGTATATGTACATTCAAACAGGACATTAAAGAATTTATTTTCATATTGACAAAAAACAATAATAAAAAATATTGTCGATAAATCCTCTTCTCCCCTATTGTGATAGTAAATAAGTGAACAGTTTCATAATATCAGCAAAGTAAAATTACTTGGTTTTATTAAGATGCCACTTTGAAATAGACTCAGGTTTATGTGTTTGTTTAAGATTTCGCTAACCTAAATCGGTTTTCTGTGTCTAGCCTTCATCAAATATTTTTTTAAACTTGCGAAATTGAAGAACAAACGTGATGTTTTTGATATTTATCAAATAAATACGTGATTAAGATAATGAAAATAGAAATAATATACCTATTCTTGTCAGTTTAAACAGTTTTTCTGAATGTTTAATGTACTTGAAACGATGAGTAAAAGTGAGAATGTGACAATGAATTAAATTTTACGATCATAGTGAAAACCATAAACACCTGTTTCGTGATTATTGTCTATTAATAAATTAATTATTCATGTTTTTATTGTTTTTTTTGTAGTAAATTGGGTCAATTATGACAAAACTTCTATTAAATCATCCCTTCATTACCATGTGATAATAAATCGCTTCATATAGCGCCTTTCTATCCGTTTCATTCAAGGGCACCATTATTACAAATAATCAATCCATTCTAATTATAAACAACCGATTTATCTTGCCGACAAGAAATTTTCTTTTTCCAAAAAGCAATGTTTTGGTTCCATAAATCATTTTTAATTAAATCTAATTTGAATTTTTCGATTAAAACCGTCCGAGGAGTCAATCTGTCCTTCACCTTTCTCAAATTCGATAAGTTTTCCTGTTTCAGGTTTTTAACTTTATAATTGTGACCTTTTGGGTCGTCTCGTGTCAAAAAACCGATGATGAAAGTAGGCCTTACGAATTCGGGTTTACCATCGACGGCCAGCAGCACCGACATGAAAAAAAAGGTGCGGAAAGAAGAAAAAAAAATAACTATAATAAATCATATTTATTATTTTTGTAGATGTTAATGGAATCATTCAAGGCGAATTTGGCTTTATCACTGCCGACGGTATTTATCACGTAACTGTGTACGCCACTGACGAAAATGGCAATTTCAGGATTTTGAGTATGAGAAATGTTCGGATTAGTGCCCGTAAGCAATTGTAAATCTCAAAAAATTAAAATTGACATAATGGTTTTAGCTCTGGATGGGTCACCGCTACCTCCGGGTGCCAAAATAGAAGGCAGTCCAGCCCTGGGAAACCAGAACCCACAACCACAACCCGGAACCCCGGTCCAGAACCAACCACAACCTATTCAGACCACCTCCCGGCCTAGAACAACCTACGTTTTCACAACGCAACCTACAATCAAGCCGGCATGTGGTGGCTGCGGTTATGTCACGACGCCTAAACCTAGACCTGGGGAGCTTTTCCCGTTCCAAACATCCGCGTTCCAGAAACCTATTCAAACTGTGAACGAGCCCAAGCCTGAATTAAATTCACCCAATCCGGGCACAAACTCCCCCAACCCAGGTTTAAACTCTCCAAACCAGGGTTCAAGCTACCCTAACTCTGGACTAAATTCACCCAATCCGGGCTCAAGTTACCCTAACTCTGGTTCAAATTCCCCAAACCGTGGTTCAAGTTACCCTAACTCTGGATTAAATGCACCCAATCCGGGCTCAAGTTACCCTAACCCTGGTTCAAATTCCCCAAATCCAGGCTCGAATTACCCCAACCCTGGGTTAGTTTCCCCCGGATTTAATGAAATCGATCGGAAGCCGCGGAAACCACTTTCCCAAGTGACAGTTTCCGACGGTGCTATACACGTGCCCGGAAATCCGGACATTCCAGTCCGTGATAAGTTTCCGGGGATGGTTGATGGTTTACCCGCCGGAGTTACAGAGAAAGATATTACCGATTTGTTGTATAAATTTAATTATACTGTTGGTTTCCACGGGCATTACGAGAAAGGTTTGAAAAATGGTGCTAAGATCGGTGGTTATTTTGTTACCGGAAGAGATGGAATTAGCAGAATTGTCACGTACGTCGCTGATGAGAATGGATTTAGACCGAAAGTGAAGTTTGTTAGATTGGATTTGAATTCCGATGAGGTGCCGAAAGAAGGAACGGAGAAAACTTTCGGATTAAAGAACTTTGAGTTTGTTTGGTATCCGATTAGTTAAACTGTATTGTTAATTATTTAAATAAATTAATTTCTTAACAAAAAAAATGGACTTTTGATCTCAAACAGGCAAATTAATAAAAATTGAAAAATGTGCTTACAAAAATTCCTAAATACCCAATTTGTTACACAATCGTTTTCAATCTTTTTCAGTAAAAACATAATACATACATCTCATACTAGAAAATTATTGCAGCAAAAATTTGTTAGAGAACAAAATTTGTTTTGATATTTATTGTTGGCAAATTTAATTGACCACCATTGAAATTTCGGTAATTATAAGAAGTGTAAGTATGATTAAATGACAAAAAAAGTAGTGTACTAAAGAGCTGTAAAGAATCTGAAAACGAATCTAACTATTTTCTAAAATTTTGATAATTCATTTGGTTTAAAAAAATAGAATGTGTGGGTAATAATCTAATGCACAGACCACCAATGAGAATTCTCATTGAGAATTCTCATTGGTGGTCTGTGATCTAATGTTTACATTGTGTAATTTGGGTTGCCTACCAGAAAAGTAAAAAACAAGTCAATACAAAATATTAAAATCAAATAACTTAGGTTCTAAAAACTTGCTAAAATGAATCAAAATTCTCACACTAAAACATTGTAGAACAAATAGATTTTGTGCTATCGCCCGATAGACAATAAATTTTGGCATATTTGCAACTAACTGCGTTAATTTTTTTTTATTCTTCGACTCTGTCAAAATTTATGGTTTTTCTCCCGTGTAAGAAAGTTTTGACAATTGTTTGGCATTTCTCAATACAAAAGGTCAAATTATTTTTAACAGATTTAAAGCACGTTTAAGCCTTGTTGAGTCTAATTCGAAGAATAAAATGTTGTATTCAACTCGTTTGAGTGTAAATCGGACGCTTTATTCCACCTCGTGGATGGTAAACCACTCGTTACACTCGTGGTTTAAAAATCCACTCGGTCAAATAAACCGTCCGATTTACACTCACACTCGTCGAATAAATAACTATTAATACTTACTACAGTCAAATTCAAAAAAGTGCATTTCAAATGACATTTCAAAAATTAATAAATAATAATAAATAAAAATAAAATAAAATGACCATAACATCACCTAAGCTTTTCATGATTTAGTCGGCTTCACTGTAAACTGTAATGTCGGGAACTAATGGTAATCTGTATTTTCTCATCTAGATGGCGTCGATATTTTAAAACTTTAATCAACAATTGTTCTTCTCGTATTGTTGATAAATGAATAATGAAAATACAATTTCAAGATTTTTTTTGTAAAAATACAGTTTGTAAATACATACATTTTTTAATCATGACTCAGTCCACCAAAATCCCACTCACAGCTATTTTCGCCATTTTCAGCCAAATTAACTGTTTACTGCCCAAAACCGATCATTGTGGGATGTAGCACTTATTTTCCAAAAAAATTAACGGAGGTCAGCTGTGTTTTGATACTTCGAACAAGTTTTTCCAATTAAAAATCATAACACAACGCAAATTACCGAGAAAATTAATAAGAGGAATCGATCATTTTTCTCACCTTGAACGTCAATACCCAACCCATTGCGCCGTATATTTATTTTTATCGCAAAGTCTGATATGTATTTTTTGAGACAATTTTCAGTTCGGACCGATAAATCTCTTCCCACAGGGTCAAGCTACCATAAACAGAGTGCAAAATTTTTATAACTACCGACCGCACCTACCACTCGACCAGAATCCCAAATTTCAAGATCAATTTCATAACAGTTCTATTGTTGGAGACATTCATCATCCTCATAAGTAAACCTACGGATGCATTGTTCCTGAAAAATTCTGCCCAATTCAAGGTTAATTACGCACGCACACAGTTACAAAATCTCGTCATTTTCCCATGTGCTGAAACAGACTTTCCTTTATTATTTATTGCACTTTTATGGCTTAAAAAACTTTCACTTAAACAGCACTAATTTTTCAAAAATTTGTGGTTGCGTGATACAGTTTTACAACTGTAAAACACCCACTTTAGCCAAGGCGTATCTTCCCGCAAATATTACCATTCAGTGGGCTTGTGCACCCGTTAATTCGAAAATTATCCCACGGGTAAAAGCACTCAAATTATAATTATTGAGAGTGGCCCGCTTGAAAGTTGAAAAATTATACCTTTTAGGAACTTTGTCACCTCGTAATGGTAATGTTTTCAATTAATTATGTCAGGTCAGAAATGAGTTGCATTTTTATGTACGATTAAACGAAAGTGTTAGACATCCGTGATTGACCACATTTTAAGTACAAAACATTTTTGTATTTCCACGAATCTTTTAAATTTCAATTAAGGTCGTCATTAGAGTAATTATTATAAGAAAAAACGTTTTATTATTCGCTAATTATGAAACTTTATGTGTAATAAAAACTCATTTGTTTGTGGCCACTTCATAAAATTAATTTGCAAAGAGTTCTACATAGTATTTTGTTGTTTAACATTGAAATCAATTTTTCCCACATAGAATTATCAAAGAATTACAGTAATTAGCTTGGTTTAAATTATACAAATAAAAATTTAATCGATTCAATTTTTTTCTGATTTCTGACAGCGACAATTTGTGTAATTTGTTGTTCCCTATTAAAACTTTTCTGAACAATCTGATGAAAATCAAAATGCTCTAAACTCGTCACTAGATCTAAATTAGATCTAAATTAACAAGTAAAATCAATTATTTACTTGCTATATAATGGAGCAGATACTGTATAGTTTTCTATTCTACGTAACTGTCTTTTGCAGCCCGGTATTTTGAAAGTCTCTACATTTTATTACGTTTGAAAATTCCTTCCTTCAAACTTTTTGAATTGTATTTGCAGGTAGGTATAAAGAATTTTTTAATGTGGTATGTATTTCTGAATAATCCCTCAGCCTCCATAATTGTCTTTTAAGACAAAATATTTTGAAGAAAAGTTTGATAATGTTTTATTTATTTATTTTTTTTATTTTTTTTTTGTCACAAGCTAAATAATTTATAAAGGAGTTAATTTTTAAATGTCTAATTGGTTACATAGGTTCTCATTATACTTAGGAGTACATAGAATAGAGATCTTTATGTGGTCAACTAAATAGAAAATCTATTTTAATTAGGTAATAATTAATTAATTTTCGTATCATTGCTAAATTATTTTTTACAAAATACAGAAACTATAACCTAAAGTACAAATCAAAATAATAAAAATCAAAATCAATTTTAGTTAACATACACATTTTCTGTGTAATCTTAAAGAAGATTAATTTGAATTTTAGTTTTATTTAACAATCAACTAAAAATTTTAAATCTGTGTTTACTGATGCAATCAGCAGAATGCCCCACATCAAACTTACTAATTTTACAAAAAAATTGTGTAAAAATTTCAAAAATAAAATATATACTTTTATTTCAATTTATTATTCTTATACTTCTCTTTTCTAAAGTTAAAATATGTTTTGGGCAATAAACAAATTTTAGCCAGCTTTAGAGAATAATTAAATCGTCAATTTTTTTTCAATTTCCTACTCTAATTACAGAATTATTGACCAAAAACAGCAAACCTATGTCTGTTTTTTATGATATAATTTTTGAGATTTGGTCGTATATTATTTTGGTTTAAAGGAAAACAATAAAGTTTAGCTTACACTTTTTTTCTTACAATTTAAATAGTTTTAGAAATTTAATATACTGTAATCATTTTTGACCAATTTTTAATAGTATTTTTTTTTTTCATTTAAAGATAAATATTAATAAAAAAAATTACAATTGTACTATCAAAACTAGACAAAATTTAAGTTAAATAATGCGGTTTTCCAAGACGACACGCGATCTGCTTCAGTAGATTTAATGTAAACAGAAAAAGCATAAAAAGTTGTTTTGTCGTTTTCCTTGCTTCTTGTCTATAAAAAATGTCGTCACAATTTAATTTATTTTTTATTGACTTTTAGTTCGAAGTAAAACTCACTTAGAAACCAGTCCAAGCATCGATTGTACTACCCAAATAAGTCCTAAAGTAACTTTTACTTCACTTTTAATTATTGTATTAGAGTTAACAGTTTTCACTATTGTTCCGTTAAAACCTAAGCAAACAATGTGTTCTTTTAAATTATTGCATAATGAGAATTTAAATACGTCATTTCAATTAGTCAGTCGATTTCCTGCGGTCACGTGGTTTTTCTCTGTATTCATAATCTTCCAAAAATCACTTATGATTCAAATTTCCGGAGGATATTTTGACCAAACCAACAATCCGCAAACATTTTCGTTAACATCGAGGCTAAACACTGGGCGTGCATTTGCATGCGATGTAAACAATTAGCGATAATTATCAAACTGCGAATTTGTTGGAATAATTGTTCGACCTTTGCGAGTACTATTAGGAATCCATGTCACTTGGAACAATACCCAGTGCTTGAAAAAAGTGTAATACACGCACAACCTTGCCTCCGCATGACCTCTGACTTGTGACGAGGCACGCCCACATCTCTAACTCCGGAGCCCCGGATTATTCGCGCGCTGGTCAGTGCGATAGTTAGTGCAACTGTGGCAGTGCAGCACGAATGCTGGGTGAACGGAAACATGATGCATTATGGTGCTGTTTTGATGGTTCGTAAAAAATACTAAACATTGTGAAAATTTAAAAAAAAAATGTGGAGGTGAAGGTGGCGTTGGGCTAAGTAATGGCAAATACAAGTATTTACACTGCTTCATATACAATCTTTGCAAGATATTTTTATTTTATAAAATTTAGAATCTGATGGAAAATATACATAGGCTATTTTAACGAATAATGTATCATTTTGTTTTGTTGAAATAAAAATAAAATAAATATTTTTGTAATCCATTAACATTTTAGAGTGACAATTAAATAAAATAGAAAAACATTGTTACAATAACATCTTTTGTTTATTTTTTTAAATCTTTTTTTTTTCTTATACAAAGGGATTTGAAATAACATAACATCTGTGACGAAAACTCGCCTATTTTTTTAATACTTTAATGAAACAAATAAAATTTGCTGTTTTCATTATTTTTAAAAACTTTTTATATCTATCATCGTATTATTAATTATCATTGTTTTGACGAACGAAAATGCGTCTTTCCAACTTTCCAACAAAAGCTTAGTAGAGAATATGAAAATTAAAAAAAACATTGTTTATTTCTCTTATTCAATTAGTTAGTGTATGATACAAAACTACTGTTGAATAAGTATGTTAAAAATTAATATAAATAATATAAACAATAGGGGATAATTAGCTTTTTTTTAATATTCGTCAAATTTTGAATACCTACTACTCGATATCTGAAAATTATTTCGGCTATTTTTTCAAAACCAAAAAAAATCTATATGTTATTAATTTTATTTTAAGTAATATGTATTTTCCAAAGCCAAATAAAATATTTTAATTTGTACTCAATGTTAAAGAGCTCAACGTTTATTACCTCAATGTTTATTAGCTAATTTCAGTAGATAAAGTAATTTTTATTGTTTATCTTCTTATATAATAAATAACTATTTTAAATATTTTTATAATTTCTATCATATTGAAATTAAATGTTGATTATAATTTTGCCTTTCGTAAAATTATCTAAAGATTACAAATCTACATTTTTTTTTCCTGAAGAAGACAGTTTACAAAATATTTAGATATTAACCAAACAATAATCATTTTTTGTGCTTCAAAAATGTTTTTTTAAACTTCATGAGTACTTACTTAACTTATTTTAAAATTATTTTAGTAAAATTCGTCACACATTTAAAACTTTAAGTCCCTACACATCGGTACTCGATGTTAGCAAATTTTTTCGACACTGTTAATTAATTTGTTAAATAAATTATCGTTAAATTATTCAACTGCAAATGCACAAAGATACCTAATTTTTTTAATTTCATTAACTTATATTTATAAGTTCTACAATGAATCAATGCAACAGTTTATTATAAGTAGAAAAGACTATATTCTTAGAACTTATCCTATACATAATTTGTTAATAATATTTATTATTCAACAGTTTTTAATTTGTTGGTAAAAAATTTGTTGTTTTGGTTTAAAGTTCTAACGAAAATTAATTAAAAACGCACTTGGATATTTGTAAAATGAAACAAATAAACTGATTAAAAATTTCGCAATTTGTTAATTTGTGTTTTTTTGTTTTGTGATCAAGTTTTCAATAAAAGCAGTTTCCTGCAAGGAAAACAACCTCCAAATAATTACAGCCAAAACTGGGTTAGTTTAAACAAATTAAGCTCGAGGCACAATATTGATTTTGTAACAATTTATTGTTAAATTATGAATCGATTTTGTGCAAACTCGTTACAGTTTAATTTGTGTGGGTTTTGCCACATCCTGAAACAAAAACACACAACTTTAGGAAAAAATATCGTCCTTCAAATAGTAGAAACATTGTAGGTGTTTAATCTACTTTTCGCCCACAATTTGTGTCGTTCCTTTCATGAATAAGCAATTCTTCAGTTCTTTCGGTTTATTATCCCCGTAAAGATGTCCTGTCGTGTCTTTAATTTTCGTTCTTTGAAACCTGTTTTAATTATTATCGACACCTTTTATGTCGGTGGTTCTCAGGGCAGGGCACTGAACGCACTATCGGGATTTTGCCATATTAGAAGCGGATTAATCCCACGCGAAATCCCACGATTAGGACCGAAAATTGCGATTATTATCAAAGCTAATCCGGTCCATAATCTGACTTTCTCTGCAAATCGCTTTTCATGGGTAAAAGTATGTGGCCATATGTGTAGGGCAGAAGACACGTCTGAAACTGCCTCGTTATAGTTTCGAAAGTCGCAAAATTGCCTTATTTTTGCCGATTTCCCAACAAGATTTTGTTCCGAAAAAGAATAATTGCGTTAGATTTAATTACAAATCTGAAAGTTGCAATGACGGAGTCAAATCGTGAGGTAAAAGGGACACGCCTAAAACATTTTTCGAAGAAATGTAAATCTGTTTGGATGAATTTTGTATAAGTTTCATAACAGAGCTATTGTTGGAAATACTGATTGTCTAAAAACCGTGAAAATGAATAAATTAATGAATACGTAACTGGCATTCATTTGATGAACTTTCGCTATTTCTTCGAGTTTGGACCAGATGGAACCTTGAAAACGAAAATTTTTTAACGATAGCGTAAGAAATTTTTGGACAGAAAGCGAAATGACAAGGCTGAACTGTACAAAGCAATTTAATTTCAATTAAAATTATTTTACAAATGTTGTAAATACCAGACGTTTGATTAAAATTTTAAATAAGTAGCCCGTAATTTTGAAAATAAGTTGGTAACATTCAGAAACAAAATAAAGTTTCGTATCGTGTGTTTAAAAAAATTTAAAATAAAATCAAGTTGGCAATCCCGAATAATGTAGAGACTTTTTGAAGAAAACTTATTAAAGTCACAGGTCACTTTGATGGGAAATTTATAATTACCATGTAAACGATCTAATATACATTTCTGAAACACAATCTGTTCGAAAATAAAAAGCAGTGAAATGTGCAAGTAGCGAAAGTGTACCTTTAGGGCACGCACTATAAATTATCTCGATTTACGTAATTCATACTCCAATTAGAATTTCTAAAAATATGCAAACAATTTATAATTCAACAAACATTTATCATAAATGCGCAATGACTCAACGTTACCTAATAAAACTACCAATAATAGCCCCATTGCAAACCCACGTGGTACATACAATGTCGTATCCGGTTTGTCTTCACCCTCCAGCAATGCAGAAACCCAGACCCATATCGTGGTCACCCTGAATCCAACACCCGTTGACATTTCAAACTAGTAACATTTAAAAATCGCCACTCTGATGCAATTCAGATTCGCCACAGTACAATAATTCGCTCCACATCTTTCGAATTTTTTTCTCAACTTTTCCGATAGCCTGCACAATCGACCATACCATAAATGGATCGGCTCCATGGGCGACCTACGCAATATATGTGTAATACCATTACGTGGATATGTCTCCACTATTGTTGAATTTCGTCGTTTTTTCGCATTCGGATCACACGCGTCGAGAATTTGGGCCCTAAATGGTGGTACGAGGTCGCACGTATTCGACGCGAAAATGGTGCTATCTCGGGGATAAGAAAATGAAAATTTTCGATTAAAGTTATGACTGTTCACACTTTTCCATTGCTTTGACCCATGGAATGTGACGTAATGAGGTTAGTGGAAGAGGTGATTAGACGCCAGAAGGAGATTGAATGCAACTGCGGGAATTAATTGCACCCAACGAGGTGGTCTAATTTTTTTATTTCAGCAATTGGCATTTCTACAAAATTATTATGCAACTATAAATGTGGTCAATATTATTAACAGGTTTCTGCAAACGAACATTAAATTATTTTTAAAAAAGCCATTTTTTTAAAAACTGCCCTAAAATCCTCCACTGTGTGGCCCAATTTTAAACAAATTACTATCAAAAAAATAAATAAAATGTTTACAACTTTTCTAAAGCTCAATTTTGAAAATTCCAAAATATCCCACAAATGTGTATCACGCAGAAAAAGGTAATAATTCAAGATTTGTGATAAAATTTTGTCATGAGCACATTTTATATTCCTAATTAAGTAATTATGCAACAAACTATAATTTAGACACTGTTACTTTACTTCCGTAAAGCTTTTTAATTCCAATTAAATAAAATATTGACTTTAAGAAAAATATCAAACCATTCTTCTGCACTTCAGCAAAACCTATTGTGAGAAAAAAAAACACTGACCTGAAAAATTATCAAAACAAGTTATCAAAAACTATTAAACCTTTCTTTCCGCATTTATCATATTGAAAGACCCGGACCTAATCGTTGGATCTATTTTAGATCCAAATCGTGATAAATCCAGCCTTGACTCCGAATTATCAGCAACTTTCATTCATACCATTTAATTATAATTTTTCCAGTCATAATCTTTTCCTCAGTTAAAAATACTTTCCTTGTGAGTATGTAAATGTTAACTGCAACTATTGTTCATTGTTTTGATTTTTTTATCACCACTTTCATGCTTTTCCATCATCTTTTAAATTATATGATGATGACAATTCAGCAATTTAACATCATCGCAATTCGACGCACATTTAGTTCTTTAAAAGGTCAATGCGTCAACTTGGCCCAAATAAAAATCGATTTTATATTAATTGAGTTATATTTGTGTCAAAAATTCAATGTTGTCTACTTTATTTAATCAACTATTCAAGAGTTAAGGTCATGGGCTATCTCGTACCAAGCAAAACAAAACGAACCCATTTTTTATTGATTTATTTGCGTCGATTTGATTAAGATGCAAATATGGGTTGCTCTTGACCCAACTAGTGGTGTCCCATGAATACCAAGCAAAACCGAAGGTAACTTACACCAGTTACTCAACAGTGATATTATTTAATCTCGTCACAATTCACACAAAAAAACTGTTTTCCGGTCAAATTTCATTCATTAAAATTAACCACTCCTTGCATAATCACTTTCCTTCCTTTCAGGCGATACTTGCCATTGCTCCGATCGAATCGACCAGTGACTGGAACAACCCAGCAAGTGCCCAGTACCATATCCAAACCGACGAAGGCCCCGAACGATACTTCCGCTACCAAACGAATAGCGGTCAATACCGAAAAGAAAAACGACTCGACGATGGTACCGTCGTTGGTACCTACGCCTGGATCGACGCCGATGGGTTCCTCCGGCAACGCGATTACATCGCCGACAACGCCGGTTACAGAATCCTCAAAACGAAAAATTTGTACGTTGGGAGAGACACACCCATTGCACAGGCGATCAAGTCGGCGAAGAAAGTACCAGCGTCTGCTGGTACATTAGTCAAGGGTACCACCGTGGCCCCACCTACGGTTAGTGTGACCCCATACGTGGAAATAAACCAAAACTCGATTTCTTCGACCCCGAAGCCCACCCCTGCGTATCTTCCACCATCCAGTACTCCGGCACCTTTCAGTATCAATCCTTGGTACTATTCGAGTGCCCCACAGTACGACCACCACAAAAAAGACCCACTTTTGACTTTTGAAAACGGTCCCACGTACCCTATTGATAACCGGGGACAGACCTACACAGGGAACAATTTGGGAAATGGGTACGACCCACAGTACGAGTACTATGATGGTGTTTCGGTGACCAATGATGGGTTCCGATACTACATACCCAGGGCCTACCACGAGGAGCAGAACCTGGGGGATAAGAAATCTGGTAGTTTTGGGTACATCGACCCATTTGGCATCCGCAGGGTCATTTATTACAACGCCGGGCCTGGGACGGGCTTCCAACACCGGAAAAATAACCGATATGTAGGTTTCGATGCAACGCCTTACGATCCAAGGCCTTATTAAATAATTACATACGCCAACATGAACGATTTAACATACTAAACACGTGCTTGTGACAAATTTTTACTCGGTGATGAGGATTTCTCCAATCACTGCCGTAGCTAGGATTATTTATTGAACTAAAATTAGATTGTGAGTGATAAGGTCCTGGGAATCACAGTTTATAATTCAAATAATGTAAATAACGACAATAATAGATTATAAACTCTAGTTCGGGGACCTGATTTTTCAAATACTCTCTCTTGTTATGTTAGGTAATTTATGATAATGTTTTGTAAATAAATAAATAAAATACAAGTGTGTTTTATTTACCAGACGCATTGTTTGGTTTTATAACGCATTAAGTAATAAAATAAATAAATTATAAATTATTTTATTCTTGATAATAATTTATGCAAGGCACAGTTGTATTACTGGTTGCCTATCATAACAATAAAATAACTTTTGTTAGAAGATGCACCCATAATATCACAAAATAATTGTTAAATACAGTTTTTTTTTTAATCTCATCAAAGACATTAATGGTGACCATTTTTTTTGCTTCTGGCTACAAGAATCTAATATTTGATACTTACATAACCATGTATAAAGTAATAGCTTGAATTTTCTAAAACACATACACCAAAAACATTAAAATCACATTTTACCGGTTTAGTGTTTAATAAAAAAAAAATCTTTCCAAAATAGTGCATGTGCATCTTTACTTAATTAAAAACAAAACGAAGCAATCAAAAATTACATTCACGCTTTAGCTTTTTTGGACTTAAATTGACATTTTAACCATGTGCAAAATACGTATTTTAAAATATATTTCACAAATTAAAATAAAAACACAGTATTTTTATATAAGCGTATGCAACTTATAAAACGCGTACAAGTAAAATGGGGTCTATAACCATAAATCAGTTCATAAATCAGTTGCTAACTTTTATTTTGTACTCAATCTTAAAGAGTGCTTTTATCAACTAATTTCAGTCGATAAAGTAGTCTTTTATCGTCTAATGAAATAAAGTCTACGGTTTATATTTTATTAACTAATATCAGCCGATAAAGTAGTCTTTATCATCGTCTAGTGAAAGAAAGTAATTTTTATCTACTGTTTATATTCAAGAAATTCTGATAGGTGAGTACAAAATAAAAGGAAATATTATACAGGACGATAACAAAGTATCGTGAAAGAAGTCCACTCGTTCCTTCGTCACTCGTAAACTTAACATTTTCATTCGTAGATAAATAATTTCTTTATCGTCTTGTGTATTAAATATTTAGTATATTTTTGTGTTTAGTATTATTGAAATGCAATAGTATATTAAAAAACAAGTGTTACTAACACTCTCATTGTGATACGAGTAGTTTGCCACACAGTGGCGAATTTTATAAATGCACGAGTACCATAAAGAGAGGTTGTAACACGCATTTTTTATACTTACTATTTTCTCTATTGAGCGATTTTATCATATAAAAAAAGATAGTTGTCATACGCTAAAAAGTTGCTGATACATTACTGGTTTTTGAATGACTAGATGATGTTTGATGAATGTTCCTGCATTTTTTCTTTTTATTAACTATGTATTACACAAAAAATTCAAAACTCTCGTTAAAATAACACAAGTCAAAAAATTCATCAATTTTCAAAATTACTTAAATCGTATGAACTAGGCTGATTACGCGTCCAATAGTACATTCCAAATAATCTCTTAAAATATTTCCTTTTTAAAAAAATGGAGTTTAAATATAGGTATCGCCCAGCCCTAGTAAAAATTAGATAAACAATAATTTTCATATTGAGACACCTCCAGCAATGAACAAGACAATCGGCAAAAAACGCAACCTACATACCTTATCTTGGATGATTTCTCAACAAATAATGAAAGACGTGTTAATCAGCATTGCCCCATTATAGATAATTGTAATGCAAAATTATTGTCAATGTTTCTTCATTATGCAACCAATAATAGAAGGTTAAAAAAACACAAAACATTTCTTTAACTATAATTTAAAAAACTAATTTTCTACATGTACAAGATATAAAAAATCAGCCGTTTGAAATAGTACACACACAACAACTAGGAAACCAGAACACATCGGTGTAGAGTTCATTCCCAGCCCCCTCCAATGCTATTAATCTTTTTTGAACATATTTCTGCTCGCATCTGGACGTGTATCCTACAGGAAGGCTACAAAGTCCACTGCAAGTCTGCGACCTGCAAAAAAGAGATTTTCTACGGCCGAGGCAAAGCCGAGTCGTTACTCACGCACAAGTTTCACTTTTGACAAGTTGACTATATCTGTTGTCCAACTCGGGCATGTTTACCACATACATCCAGTTTCCCTTGTTGTTCAAAGCTGCCCTAGGCATGATATACTGAGATCTTGAAGTGCATAAGGTTTGCCCTGTGAGGGCATTTTGGCGCTTCTTGCGGTCATGGGCAGTACTATTCGATGGCAAAACCAGAGATTTCAATTTTCTTAAATGACTCGAACGTTTTTTTCGAATTAAAATTGCTTTCCCGTACTTTTCGTCTTTTCTGTTCCAGACTTTGTTCGCATAGGGGTTGATTTGGGGTAGGGCAAGGGTTGATAAGTAACTAGGGGGACCGTAAACGTCCCTTGGAACACTTGGTGGTATATTATTTGAGTATTTGTATTTCACATACTGGCCTTGGGGATATCCTGTAAAAGTTTGAGTGGAGTTGTAAGGGGGCGGAATATAAGTATTTCCCGCTCTAGAGCTTTGTTCATAAACGTAGTTGGGTTTAGGTATATGGATCGGTTCGGGGTAGTAAGTGGGTAGGGTGTTAGGGGGGCCATATTTTGGTTTAGGCGGGGGGTAAAAGTACGAAGTGAAGTCTTCTTTGGACTCATCGATGAGAATAGTCGAGTGGTCAAACCGCCATTTTTGTATCAAATATTGAATCCTCTCGCTAGAAAAACAAGTCAAAAATAATTATTATATAAAAAGGTTTTTACCCAGGGTAGTGTTCAGGATGTTCGCAGTATGTGAGCCCCGGCAGAGCGCACGGCGGTGTTTTTCCTGGGGCTGCGGGTAGGAAGCTGCACGTTTCCCTCCCGTACGAGCTGGTGCAGTAAGTGTGGCTTTTCGTTGTTAACAGCAAGGAAACGAAGACCTAAAAAAATGATAAATGATTGAGACTTCGGCATTGAGAATTAAGAAAATCATTCACTTGGTTTAATCGATCAATTTAAGGTTGTCATCGGGTCTAATTGTTCGATTTTTTGTCGCAAGTCATTATTAGAAGAAATCCTTCGATGGTGCAGAACCAATTTCCTATTTACAGCGTTCATCCTATTTATGAACAAGGGCGAGTATGGAAGGTTAACGAAAGTTGAGGTGTTCCACGAATTGGGATGGGGCAAATGGCAATTTCACTAAATGGCAATTTGATGACTGTGCTTGCTTACGAAAGAAATATTTTCAATCGGAAATTGTTGCAGCGAAAGTTGGCKAATTTTCAACAAATGGACAAACTTTTATTAAATAAAATAAACAATTTGTGTTATACTTAGGTAGGTATGTTATACATGTCACTATGAAAAAATAAATCAATAAAATTACAGTGGAAATGATCTTAAACGTTACAAGTGATATAAAAGTAGTTATTTAAAAAAATATATTCAACTTTGTAAATCTTTCACCTCAAGAGAAGCAAAAATAAAAAACAAGTAATAAAAAAAATGTAATAAAAAAATATAAATATGTGTTTCAATCTGCTTTACAGAAATATATAATATTTAAAAATGGACTTGGATGGCAGGTTAATTTTATGTAAATGTGGATAGAAATTTTGTGTGTCAGAGGCTTTATTAGAAGGCTAAAAACATAACATATTCATTAAATAAGTCAATACACTTTGCAAGTTGTTTGAGACTATATTTACAATTTAAATTAATTGTTCGTGTTATGTTAGTACTTATTGATTCATTTTACCCTTGATGATCCTAGATTTCTATTTTTCTCCAATTTAAATCGAAAAAATTGAAAAGTTTGAATAGAGTTAATTTTAAGTTTTCAGCAACACATCATTCAATAGATACAACGACAACAGTCTCTAGTGTAATTTTTAATAATGGGAAAAATCATCAAAGCCAAAGTTGAGTCTCCAAAAAATAAGCTTCTTTGACTAAAATGACTAATATGATTTAAGAAGTACATAGTTGGTAATTGATGCGAGATTGACTTTAAAAATCTTTAATTCCTTAAAAAAACTTTTTTGCTCTTGTGAAGTCAATGTCATTGCCATTTTTGGAAGCAACTTTAGTCGTATTAGAGAAATATTCTAACAATTGATTGAAAAAATATTATTTTGAGAAAAAAGTATTGACACGAACATTCAACCTTAAATTATAAGATTTTATTTATTCAAATTTGTGTTTGTAGTTATTTATTTAAGTATCATTTGATATACATTTTAATAACATTTAATAATACTGGAGTTATCGCTTGCAGTGTCTTTGCCAACGTGTATACTTATTGACAACATACAGGGTGTGTCAGAACTCGCGCCCCAGAAAAAAAATTAGAGTAACACAAGATACCAGGAACATGGAACAAATATTTAAAAAATTTTGTCATTTATTTTTTGACATTTGACTTTTTTATGTTTATTTTTGTATGTTTATTTAATGATACTGATGATCTTGTAAATGTTTTTTTTATAATTATCTAGTAAAGGTTCAAAAATTTTGCCAATTAAAGACACAAATAACATTAAACAAACAGAGTTACAATTTAGAATACAGCTTCTTTGTTTCCTCTTCTAATAGTCTGTAGCAAAAAAACTTGAAAATAAATAGAGTCAAAGTGCAAAATTTAAAGTTTCATAATTTCGAAATTTTTATAGATAGAATTTTTTTAACATTTTTTCATGTTCCTAGTATCGAGCCTTACATGGTATTTTTCACTGGGGCGCCAGTTCTGTTGTTTTTTTTTTATAAAGGTACAAAAATTTTGCCAATAAAAGTCACAAATAAAGTTACAATTTAGGATACAGCTTCCTTGTTTCCTCTTCTAACAGCCTGTAGCAAAAAAAGTTGAAGAATTGTTTTTCCAACATAAATAAATAAGGTGTTATCTTATCTTACTTTATTTTACTTTGGGGCGCGAGTTCTGGCGCAGCCTGTACATTTTGCGACATTGACCCGAAATAAGCATGTTTGATTGAACAAAAAAATTGATGTTATTTTTTTTATTTTCATTTGTGTAATTAATTGTAATAAAAGAACGACGTAAAACAAAAAATGTAAAAATGCAAAATAAATAACTGAATATCAAGCGAAATCTCTGTTTCATCACCGTTAAAAATGCAAATCATGACTTTGATAACTATATAAACTTTTTGCTCTTTCGATCTGTAGGTGTGAAACAAAAGAAACGTATTATTGCATTTGCTGCCGTTTCAGGCAGATTTTTTGCGACTGTTGACTGGTGTCGTAGGTGTTCGATTTGCATGTTCGTACGCAATTATTATTGATCAAAGTTGCGCAAAATCTTCTCCTAAGCCCTCTTTAGAAAGCGCTTTACGACACCGTCCGTCGTTACAATTTTGGAAATTCCGCGTCCATTGATGAGCAATAAAAATTCGCGCGCGATTGAAAAAAATTATAAAAGAAAGCAAAGTGAAAGTCGCCGATGAATTTCAAAAAAGGCAAACACCCACTAGAAAAACAATTGAATTAATCGACTTTCTTCCGATCCGTGGAATTTTTAATTTTTCCGGATTATTAGCATTCCACACGAAAGACAATTATGTAATGACACAATTAAATTGCCGTTTTGAGACAAGGTTAAGGTTAATTAAGTACTGATTGTTACATTTTCAAACCGGTACAGTCACGGACAGAAATAATTCAAATACGCAATTTGCGAAACTTCCTGATTCTGTAATTTATTGTTTGAATGCAAATGAGAGGATTAAGATGTAGAGAGATATGGAGCGCTAATCCAGATTTTTTTCAGAAAGACGGATAAAAAATATTCCCATGGTTGCGGAACTAAAAAAAGCCCGAATGACGTAAACAGACATTGTTAGGTTGTCGACACTGCTGGAATATCCCCCAATAAAAAAATTCATTGTTTCCAAAAAAAAAAAAAAATGCAAGTTTACTCGTACACTAGATAATAATTTTGCCGCGACGCGCCTTACATTTTACAATTTCAGTTTTCACGATTAGAAAGTTGGTTGTGATAATCCATCAAAATTTTAATTATTTTGTAACAATTAAAAGCCCATGACTTATTTATTAAAATTTTGGTTCATCATTGTCGAGCGTAATTCCGGTTCAAAAATTAAAAACTTTCAAAAATCTACTTACTAAACAAGAGATTTGAGCCTTTTTTTCACTCATCACACTTGAGATTCGAGACACTTGAAATCTATTTAACTACCACAGCGAGTTTGCGAACATTTGAAGGGTCAATATTCGTCGACATGTGCGCTACCAACAAATATCTCACATATACAAGAACCTACTTATTAGAGTAATAGGTGGGGACAATGGGGCGACCTACTGACAGTGACAGGTGAATGGGTAATCATTAGGTTTTCTAGCCAGACAGACGGAATTGAGATACCAACAGCAGAATTTAAATTATGTAAGTTTTTGATTGTTTTGGGCACCAAGTGCTAAAATCATACCTAAGGGCAAATGGGGAGTGGGTGGAGATGGAGAGGAGAAAATTTTAGATTTGCGTTAGCAGAGGTGTAATTAAGATTTGGCAATGGGTCAGTTTGTTATTTAAAGCGAGGGGCAAGGTTTAAATTTTAATTGGTATCAAAATAGAAATTATAATTAAATGAGAATATCGCTTTTCAAATCTTAAATATTTTTATGTTAAACTGATTTAAAAAGGTGCCATAACAAATGTCCAAGAGAAAACATGCATACTCGTATTATGAATTTTTCAATGAGGTAGATAATAGAAAATATAAAGTTTTGCAAAGAGGGATTAGTTTTTCCGTCGATAAATTGGTTTAAACTTTTTGCATTTATTCGTTTAAAATTGTTTCATAATTAATACCGGGAATCAATTAAACTTTTAATCAAAGTGGCTTCTGATTTTGAAATTAAGTTGGCAACATTTACCGGGTGACTATTAATGTACACTTGAGTACAAAAAAAAACGCAAATTATCAGAAACAAAATTGTCCAATTTTTCACAGATTTACATAGTATGAAAAAGATTGTTCCCAAAAAGGTTAGAAAACTATCAAAAGAAATGTCGTATTTGGTGGTCTTGCCAGTGCAGTGTCATAGTCAGTGTTAAAAATGAAATGGAAAAACATGGAAAAACTTGATAGAAGTTTGGAAGATGCCTGACAATTATGAAATTGTGAATGGTGACAAAGACAACGTCAAAAAACTGGCATATTAACAAGCCAAATTACATTATAAAAAAAACAATTTGCGTTTTTTTTTTTACATTCAAGTGTATGTCTATCTATTGGAATTGAAATTATTAGTAATCCTTCTAATTTAAAATACCAGAATATTTCAAGTGACGCTAAATCAGCAGTTGTCCGTCGCAAATGAATGACAATTGCCTATAAAAGTTTGACGTTTGAATTTGAAAGTCAAGGTTGCCAAACTAGAATTTTAAATTTGACACCAACTTGAGGCAAAAAAATGAAAAAATCACAATCGTTTATAGTCCCCCGGTATTTTTTTTGACAGTGTCAATAAATTTGATTGGCAACACTGAACCATTATGAGTGAATTAGTGATATTAACTTGTTTTAGATGGCGGGTTACACTCGCGGTTGCTTAATTAATGACAATTGACTACAAAATTTGACGTTGGAATTTAACAATGTTGCCAAATAAAAATTTTATTTGTAGGCCATTTTACAAAATTCATCATATTTACAGTCACTTGGTCTGTCTCTACATTATTGAGTATAGCCAACTTAATTTCTGAACCACAGACAACCGTAATCTGAAAAACAATTTAACAAACTTTTTATTCAAATAAAATAATTTGACTAAGTGAGAAACACAGTACACAAAAGAAAATGAATTTGGGAGAAATAAAACACCGTTTTATTAAAGTTAAAGTCTTTATTAATCTTTTTTAACAGTTTCTCTCGATCCCAACCAAAACCCCATTAATCCTCCCATTCGTCATCATTCGAATCCTCCTCGTCGTCATCATCCTCTGAATGTATGGCCTTACTCCTCTCGGCCAACGCCCTAGCCAATGCTTCAGCCAAATCTCCACTCCTAGTCTCCACCACGTTATTCACCGGCTTGACATCCCTCTCCTATAGAAGACAAAATCAAAACTGACCCCACAACACCCAAACTCAACTTACACAAACCGGTTTCAACTTCAACCCCTTTTGAATTTCCTTCATGAGTTGTCCACGCGAGTCGTCAACCACTGGCGTCGTGGGCATTTTCCGCTCCTCGACAGGTCGCAACGTCGTCCCCGTTTTAATACTATCCAAAAGCGCAGAGCCCATGGCCGGCGGAATCGGAATCGGACCGTCACCTTGCGACAGGTCGAACGCGGGCACCGGGGGCGGTGGCACCGACTCGAAATCGGCTAGTGGGGGCGGCGGTGGCGGGATAACTTTCTCACCTACATACACACAAATACAAAAAATTCAAAATCAACAAAGACTTACTTTCAACCGAATTTGTGATACTAGCAGGCGCTGGTGGCGGTGGGGGTGCCACTCTCTACAAAAATTGAAACAATCATTTATAACAAATAGAAATTTACATACGTGGCTGGAAACATGTGACCTCAAAGGCCCTCTAGGGGGCACCGGGGGTATAGGTGGCGCCTGTGTAAACGGAGGCACGGCTGGGGCTTTCCGCGCCGAGTGTCTATTCGTGGATTCCTGAATCGCTTCACGGCCCCCATGTTTGTTGATGAAATCATAAATAAACTCTTTTGTGTCGCGATCTTGCAGCTGTTTTTCCGAAATTCCGGCTTTTTCGAAAAAAGATTTCAATTGTTCGTCTTGACTGTCGATGTCACAATCGAAGCCCGATTCGGGGTTCCAGCCCACGTGCGATACATGTTTAAAGTCGAGGGGGACACCAATATCAGCCTTCGTAATATTTCGTTTGCGTTTTGCTTGCTTTACAACTGTATTTAGCGAAATAATAAGTCAATTCGAATTTTAAAAGGGGGGTTTACCTGGATCTGACACTTTTCTGTAATCGTGAGGGGCGCGAAGGGTGTTTGAATTCACAATGTTGTTTTGTTGAGACACGGGGCCCCTTATTTGTTTCTGTCGCCGTTCTAAAACAAAAATTTTAAAATTTACAAATTTATTTTGACGAAAAATTTCAACTAATGGGAGCCAAATCTCAATTTGAATCACTTAAACTCAGTGTTGACTCACTCAAAACAAAGTCACGTAACCGATAAATTCCGTGTGTTTTTTCAGTTTATCACGAACACAAATGTGTAATCAAATACTAATTGTACAAACAAAAAATTTGAAACATTTACCTTCCCGTTTTTTGCGTACCATAAGTTTCTCATCTACGACCAATTTAAATTCTTTTGCTTCATCAGTACTTGCAAAATTAAAAGCGACCATGGCGTCCTAAAATTCCCATGACAAAAAGCCACAATTAAACTATTAACAAACCTCTCCCTCAAAAATATGTAAAAATAAAGTACTCTCGTTATATTCCATATTGTTGTACATTTCCTGCTCCCACACTAACATATTCTTCCGCAAGCAAAACATCCTAAAGAAATAATTCTTCCTGCTGTTGTCTTTAACAAAACACAGCACTCCCACGTCTTTCTTGATCCATTGGTTATGATTTGGAGGTTCTGTGCAAAATAGCTGGGCTACCGTTGTGCTTAATGACTGAAAATACACTCAAGTGACCAATATTAAAAGGGGCTGTTTTTGGTTACTCACCTGACACCGATTTCCCAGTAACCTGAAAACTTGCAGGTTCTCATCGTGATTGAGCAGTCGCGAATTTTTGTTATCGATGCCAGGCGGCGGCATTTTCATTATTTACGACTATAACTGAAACAGGCACTACTCTAAAAGTCGTTTCCAAAATTGGGAAAAGGAAAAACTTTCGAAAAAAAATTCAACTGGGGCCCTGAAAAGTCACTGACACTTTGACGTTTGCATGACACATTCTTGACAAATTGTGTGGCGCCATCTAACTACACACGTGACAAAATCGGGAAAAATAATTTTGTAATTACTTTCATGAATTGTGTGAAACAACTCAACACTATTTAATTTGAAGCTGAAATAAATACTGTATAGAGAGTGGTACAGATTTTTTGCAAGTTGCTGGATTAAATTGTGGTGTTTTGATTAGCGCCACCTGTTGGTTAGAATTGTGCCAACTTTGATCGCCCTCTGCGTTGTGATTTTTGATCAAAAAGATCATTGTGTTTGACAGAAGTACAGTTGTAATTATTGAAATATTAAGTGAATTCTGTGAAAATGAGATAAATGATAAATGAAAAATGGCATTTCTTTGCCCTGTTCGTATCAGACGCGGCAAGAAGAAAAAATGTGAGTAAAACTTACCCAAATTATCAAAAAAATCAACATTGCCTACTAGATAAAAAATACATAAAGTAGACTTTAATTTTTAAACATTCTTCACGTATAAATGTTCAAATTCTACAGTTTTAAATTATTGTTGCACAATACATTTTTGTGGTTAATTATTTGGTAACAGTTCTATTTGGCCCCTGAATGAACGTGTCCTCATTCTCATTTATTCAACACTTGGTCCTCTAAATCTCATACTTTCAATTAACAATATTTCGCCCAATAATCACGAAAGGTCGATTTTATAAACATAAATGAACTCGAAACTTTAATTTTACCTGCCTACCTGTTGCTTATAGCCTCTAGACGAGCTAATAACAACCGTGGGAAAATTCTAGCCAATTAAATAACTCGTATGTTTTCACTTCGATCAAATTTACACAACTGTAACAAGAGCTATTTACAAATTCATTTTTTATCCCTTATCTCGGTGGTTTACCCCGACTTCCACATGATAAGAATTTGCATTTATGTTGACTTTGACAGAAAGTGATAATGTGCATCAAAATAAAATTCATCAACGCAAAAAACGATTATAATAATCATAGTAATTTAATGATCATTTATAAACAAGTGTAATACCCATCGTCTTTCATCTCACCTGTGGTTTAACAAAATACATATTCACATTTTTGTGACTCTGATTATGGGAAATTTTTATGAATATGATTACTTTGATCAGAATTCTGTGATCATTGACTATAAAATGACAAAAAAATTCTCTTTAATACCAATCACATGATCACATTTACCAAAAATTACATTACCGAACAGTACAAATAAAACAAATGTTTTATACTATCAATTTTACAAAAATACACTTTTTATCCTCAAAATCTCACGACTGTTAAGACAAAATTTCATAATCTTTTTAACAAAATGTTTCAATTTTGTGAATCTGAATTGATGGGAGATCTTGAGAATATAAATATTTGAAAGTGAAAATTGAAGAAAATATTTAGATATGATAGACTTGGGCACCAAATATCTTCGAGTCAAACGTCCAGATATGCCTTGAAAATATATTGAAGAAAAGAATTTAGAAACTGTGTCGTCTTAGAAGAATATGAGTATTTTTAGAAGATCTTGAAACAAAGAAGTAGATATTTGAAGATACTAAACTTATAATCTTGGAAAAAAAAAATATAATAAAATCTTGTGACCGAAATAAATATTTTAGGATCAAATTTCAAAATTTTTAAAAAATTTGGCCAACACAATTCATAACTCACGAATTCGACAAAAAATTGAAATTTGAAAGAAATGAATTAACAGCGTTGTTACGAACACAAAGTATAAATTTAGCACCTTGTGAAGAAAATGTTTTTTAGCTACAATCTCCGACCTCGACAAAGACCTCAACCGCCCCATCAATGGCGCCCCCGGCATGGGTCGAATCACCGGTTCGGCCAGCATCGAGACCCTCGTCCGTGTCGGAATCGAAAAAGAGCACGGACTTTCCCCCGATTCCAAAATGGTGGTCCTCCACGACTTCACTCCATGCGTCGACGACGAACTCGAAGTGAAACGCGGACAGGTTCTTCCCCCAATTCACTCAAACTTTACCTCAATTTGCTATTTTCAAGATCGTCAATATCCTCTATCGGGAGAACGACTGGGTTTATGTGATCGGTTTAGATACAAGACAGGAGGGCTTCATCCCTTATTCGTACTGTTCGCCATACAACAGCCATTTGGCCGAATTGGCCATCAAGAAAAAGCTCCCCCGGGAGACACAATTGCCATCTGGAGAGAGTTCGGACACGAACCACGAATGTGAGGGTGGTTTGGACACTAGCGACTGCGATTCGTTGGGAAAAAATAAGGTGCGGGGGGCCGGAAGCCCCATTAGCATCCGGTCGGAACCGGATATGTTGCCATTTTCGAAGGATCCTTCCGGGAGATATATCGTCTTATACACGTTTATAGCGCGGGATGAGAACGACGTTTCAGTCGAACGTGGCGAGTTTGTTACTGGTAAAACCCCAATTCGGGGCTCAAGAACCACTTTTGTGATGAAATTGTTTCAGTTTTGAATAAGGAAGACCCGGATTGGTACTGGATCGTCCGCAGTGACGGCCAGGAGGGCTTCATCCCTTCAGGGTTCGTCTACCCGGCCGATAATGTGATTCAAGGCCACTTGAATCGAGTCACGAATCAGAATCTGGGTGGCAATTTGCCCAATCAGAGCAATTCACATCTGTTAACATCGTCGAGTGTTGACGATTTGCGCTATCACGGGACGGAATTGGTGATGTTGTACGATTACAAAGCGCAAGCCCCTGATGATTTAACTGTAAGAAGAGGTGACTGGATTTATGCCGATTTGAATAATCAAACTGTGGATGGGTGGTTGTGGGCGTATGCACCCAAAACGAGAAAATATGGGTTCATACCCAAGGCTTACGCAAGGCCGCCGGCCATGACGAGTCTTTGATTGTGTGATGTGAGCCGAATGGATTTTTAATAAGACATTTTATATTTTTATACATTTTTATTGCCAGACATTTATTGTTAATAAACTTTTACATAAGATCGTGGAGTTTTTTTCTTAATTAATTAATTAATTAATAGTTGCCGAATATCGAACTCGAACAAAAGCCAGAGTTCAAAAAAACAAATCCAACTAATTATTATATTTAGTTAATGTCGGTGGTTTTAAGTTGCTCAAAAAGATCTAAATTTTTATTTTAAATTGAGCTCTGCGACTAATTATTAAAAGCTGAAAAGTTTGGAATCTTAAAAGATAGTGTTTTGTTGAAGAAAAAAGCAAGTAAATACAGGGTGTTTCACATAATTTTACGAGGCCTACGCCTGAACGATACAATCAATAATACATATTCCAATACGAACTCGATTACAAACTTCGAAAAATTGGATAATCGCCTCTATTTAGTTTGTTCACCCTTTAAAAAATTACAACGTTTTTAGTTAGTTAGTGATTAAGATAGATAAATTAGAATCATATTCATGTCGTCTCTTGACTATTAATGAAACAGTGATTAGTTTGACAACTACTGTCAAGTATTTCCAATAATTAAATGTGTATTTTTTGTATCTAGTGTTTTGTGACTTTTGTATATTAGGGTGCGTACATCAGGCGCAATCCTCATAATGTTGTGTGATAAAAATTCGTAAATTTTTTTTCGCTTATGCAACCCTTTATATAGCTGATACTGCTGGTTGCATAAATACGGTCCAAGAATTTCCACCATGTGCATCTGATCAGGGCCTGATTGGAATTTTTCAAGCTAATGTTTGATTTAAATATAATTTTCTTCAACAAACACGCGCTTAATTTTTTATTGCCCGGATCTTCGAATTTACTTAACAGCATTAATTGGCTCTTCAAATTCTTCCCAAGCTAATTATTCGTCCATTTTAAAACAATAAACAAATTCAATTACCATACAAAAGCGCGTCTGATAAATAAATAATAACAAGGAATTAAAATTTGTTGGTACTTTGCACCGCATTAGTTATGCAAAAAACTAAAAAATGACGGATGTCCTTACAAAAAAAATGAGGAAGTTTTGCGATTTCCTCGTTTAATTATCAAATATACGAAAATTTCACGACGTGAATTGAAGGTTGACTACTCCGGACGCAGAAGAAGAATTCGAAATACCTGTCGTAATACGTGTTACCTTTCCTTCTTCGTCCGAGTCAAGCTAGGCTGTACGCCACTCCTCCTTCGTTACATTTTGTTTACTTACGGCACTCCGGAGGTATTCCTCGACGTAGGTCTTAGTCGCGTCTTATCTCTTTCGTGCCAGTAATTTCAACATCTTAGGTGTGTTTGTGTCAATCGTCCGACGAAATGAATGAAATCTGGTGTTTTGCACGAAAATGACTGCGATTTAGTGAAAATTTTGACTGCGGCTCAAACCCGGAATAAGGTCAGTGGTTATTTTTGGGTAATTGCTTGAGTCCGGGCGCGGATAACGGATGTATGAGTACGGTAGCAACTATCATAATTTAATTTTTATGTGGCTAAGGCCTACTTTATTGTAACTGTTGTTCGTCTTGAACAAAAATGCATTCCGGAACGTCCGGAGTGCCCCAATGCCGGTTTTAATGAAGTTCGAATAGAACAACGACAATGAACTTGATCGGTGCTTTTAAAATAATAGGAAAGTTTAATGAACCAACAATCAAAATAAGTGGAGGCGATTTCAACCAGTTCGGTAATGAGCGATAAAATTCCTTTCTTTAAAACTAAACGTTATTTTAAAAAGATCACTTTGATTTGAAACATATTAAACGATTCCAGAACAGAGAATTATTTAAACCAAAAATTAAAATTTATTATTTTCAATTTTCATTTCTTTTGAATCCTTATTCATTGTTTGGCTTAGACAAATTGTTCTAGAATGATCACAAACACAATTCGAGACCGTCATTTACTTAAACAAAAAATAACAAATATCTAATTAGTAATTTGTCAAAGATATCTTAGGCCAAAAATCGACTTTTATGAGGCAACAAGTTCGTGTTAAGCTTAATTATTAGAAATGGTTATTTTTTAACTGGAAAATGGAAAAGGATTTTATTTTCTAAGTCCCTCAAGAAAAGCCATAAATTTCGTTTAGAAGTTAAATCTCTTTTTCGTTTTTTTGCGTTTTGCTTATGTAAAATGGGATAGAAACTTTTTTTCTGTAAAATCTTTAAGCTTTTTTTCAAATAGCCTTGTCTGAGGTTATTATTTTTTGCGACAATCAAATTTGGAGTGCTCAAATTTTTCCCTATAATAGAATTAGGTATACTTACTGTTTTTTCATTAATCCGGGTTTGAATTTGCAAATTCCGGTCTTGTGACAAATCTAGGTGCATTTCGTTTGGGGTCATATGTGCCTCACCACATGTCAAGAGGTCACATCCCACTCGGTAATTCCATTAATTAAAACCTTGAAAGTACTCGCCACAGCCATTGTTCTAGAAATGCATATAATGTTTATTTCAGCGAAATGAATCAGTTATTATCGTGTTAGATTACTCGCCTTTAAAATTCTTTATTGGCGGTGAATAACAGTAGGTAACATTGATCTTCTCCTCTTGTCGAATCGTTCAATTAAAAACAGTTTGATTTTTCTAATTGAGAGGAGAATCGCCGGATCACTCGAGAGTAATGCGTGAGAATGTAACAGCTCATTAAACGAACACCTCCATCTGTTAACATTAACTCCGGACAATGAAAAGCATCAACGCGGAAGTGCCATTTGCTGCAGCTACTAGATACTATGTTTAACAAACTGTGATGCTTCATACATTTGCTAATAAGTAATAACAAATGAAAAAAAAACATTCAGCGATAAAAACGTGACCTAATGTATGTTTTAGTTTTTTATAGTGGTGTCTTTTAAGTAAACCATTTTGTTCAAAATTATCCTCAAATTCCAAAAATATCAATTTTAATTAGATTTAGTATTAATTAAGATATTTTGGACTTTTTTCATGAGTGGTATTCGTACGAGTGGCATACAAAATTTGTAAAATATGTATATTTATAAGGTAACTTAGCCAAATAAGACCCACTTAATTTTTACTATTTTTTATATATTTTTTGAAATATGCGAAGGTTTGGATTTATTATCGAAATTGTAATTTGAACTTTTGTTTAACAATGTATACCACAAAAATGCCTATTTTGTTAATTTTTCTACATGTTTTTAACATAAATATAAAATATTACAAAGGGCCTTTTTTGGAACCTCCTAGCCCCAAATAAGGCCCACCATCGACATTAGATAAGGCCCATATTTAAAATTTGAGATTAATCGTATTAACAGTAAGTTAAGGAAAAAATCTTTAATAAACAAACAAAAAACAACATAAAAAGTACAAAAAAAAGTAAAGAAACTTCAAAACATGTATTGATATGTAACTAGAAATATTTAATTTTAATATCCAACACGATGACGCATCAGTTTATAACATATTTCACCATTTACAGTCAACTAAAAGACATATCTAGGAGTAACTTGTATAATTGATGATAGATGGTTGGATGTCCAACGTAGGCTAGATGGTTTTAATTTTCTTCACAATTTAGAAGAAATATTAACGGTGGGCCTTTTTAAGCACCGGAACTTATTTGCTTTATAGGTACTTACCTTATTTCAAATTTTAGAGAAGGATGGTTTTGGGAGTTTAAAATAATCAGAATTAAAAATATTTAAATTTCTTATAGAAAAAAATAACTCAGATCGTGTTATATACATGATCACTTTGCAGAATTAAGTATACCTTTTGTTTGTACTTTCTATTTTATACGGTTGGCAACTTTCGTGTAAATTCTTTTCATTTTTGAGTCAATTCAATCTCGCTTTTCTACTAAATACAGCGGAATGTTTTTTGCAGATAATGCATTCTAGTGTAGCCACATTCTGTGGAACATGTGGGGTAATTGGAGCAATGATTTAGAATTTTAGTTAAGTGCAGTAAATTAATAACCCGATTAGTGATTAAATCAGAGTGAAGTTGGCTTCGGTAATTATCATCAAGCTACTTGATTAAACAACTTGTAATAATGTAATTACTATTATAATACATAAATGTAAACTACACAGTCATGCAATCGAAGGCCGAATGTATGAACGAAATGCTTTAACCGAACTAATTATTTCATGAAGAAATCGAGCCTCGAAGATGACTGTTACTTTCGTCTAGCGCCATTTTGTTCAGGGTGTGGGCTTCGTCTTTTTGACATTCCAAACACACGTAAAACAGCTGAGGTGACTTTGCCTCTGACGCAAATCCCATTATAAAAAAATAATAATGTTTTGTGACGTTGAAAAATTCGAAACTTGAAAGTTTTTCGAGACCATGACCCGCGCACGAGCACGCGTTGGGAATGCAAAATTTCCGCAGAAAAAATTATTTAGCGCAATTTGTGTCAGTGATTGTATTGTCATGCGATTTATTACGAATTCGTGATTTTATCAAAGTGGACCGTTTCGCTCTGGTTGGGCCAATTGGGGTGGACGCCATATTCGCGGCGGCCATCTTAAAGACAGGAAATTGTTTCAATTGTTTAATGGAGGAGTTGAGTTATTGCATGTTGTTTATTGTTCATGCAAATTGATTCTATTTATACTAAAGGGAATGGAATTATCTCATTATTATTATTATATCAGATGTATTGTAACATCATGAAAAAATCAAATGGATAATAAGAGAAACAAAAATCGGTCACGCTTCTATCCGAGTGTGTTTTGTTATAAATGCAAGTCAAACATTAATTACAAAGTTCTCGACTCGCGATGGGCAAAAAGGGCCAAAATGCGAGGATTTTTTTATTTTCAAGTTTATGATAAACTTGATTGTGGATTTACGTCAAAGAAACCAAATTTCAAGTTCATTTGATGGCCTGAACCACCTTGAAAATTTTATTATAGGTAAGTCTGTACCTACAACAATCATCAAAAACAATAAATTTATGAAAATTGATTAAAATTTGAATGGTATCTTATTTTAAAGCACTACATAATTATAGTTTTGGAATATTTGTCCAATTTTATGAATAAACTTAAAGTGATCAACATTTAGGGCCGGAGTAAGGTAACTTGGCTTAAGAGGAAATATCTACATCAAATTTTGATAAAGAGAATACGGAAAAAAATTGAGCTTCAAAATATACAGGTTTTCCGTTTTTATTGTTACAAATTTAAATAGGAGATAGAATATTCAATTTTAAACAAAAGTTTCCTATGAACATTTATCGAAAAATGCTACGCAAGAGGCTATACCCCCTCAAAGAGGTAATGAGTTCTTTAATGGTTTTTTCCAATATTTTCGAAATCATTTTAAATAAAATTACAAAATTTGATACAGATGATAATCTTTATACACCTAAACGATTTCAAAGATAAAATGTTGAAATTTTTAATCACGGGCTTTCTAAACTGGGTGGGTTTAGAGTAAAAAGTACTATTTTGGCTGTAGTTTATTCTTACCACTTTCAAAATTTTTTATTTTTTTATTTTTAAAAAGGCTGTTTTGCGTAAAAACAGTTTTAAAATTTATGTTACAGACCATAAACAGCATAAAAATTAAAATTAAAATTGTTTTACCGTTTAGGACATCCCTGATTTAAAATTTCGACATTTCATTTTAGAATTCTTTTAGGTGTAAAAATGTTAGCTGAACCAAATTTTCTAATTTTATCTATTTTGAAAAATTGGGATAAACCCTTTAAAAAAACGCACCCCTCTTAGGGGGTGTAGCTCCCTTACATAGCATTTTTCGAAATATGTTTAGAAAATAAATATGTTAAATATGTTTAACTTTTGTCTTATAATTGAATATAATCATTTATTTAAATTCGTAACAGTAAAAACGGATCACTATTATAGGTACAGTCTAAGCAAAAAATATGAAATAAATCTATTGGTCTTTATTTTTAATACCTCAACGTTTAAACAAAACATTAAGATTATAAAAAGAACTATTCATTTAATTAACTCAAAAATATTTTACTGATGACATCTCAATTCTGGACAAGTTTTCTTCTAGTTTTTTGCAAGGTTTTGCAAAATTATAATTTTTAGTATAATTAAATTAGATTTTTGTACATTCGTAAACTGAGGTTTATTTTATTTTTATGGTTAGCCCTTTTGTTTCAACAAGTTTTAAATAAACTAAAATAATGCAATTTTAAAATGATCATAAAACGTTTTTTTTCATTATTTATTAATCATATACTGGGGTTAATTTTTTTGATATGTTTTTATATTATAACTGAATCCTTTAGTATGTCTCTTCTAAGATTAAAAACTGCTGTCATAAAAGATTTAATCAAAAATTCATATTTTCCGAACAATTTTGAAGTAGTCGGTAAGAAATTCGTTAAACTCTTAACAAATTTAATCAAAAGTTTTCTGACAGGCAATGTGGTGGG